GATTACATTTTCAGTTATTTCCATCTCAAAATTGCACTACCATAGCAACAAACATCCGGTCACTGAATTGAATCTTACCTGAGAAATGACTCAGTCTGACTGCGTCAGTCGTGGAAACTCTGCCCTGTGGCTATGAATTTCCTGTTTGTGTAGAATTGTCTGTAAATTGTATGATCTAAAATAATCATACTGATTTGATTCTATAGTGCTTTCATCAAACTTTACAAGTCCGCATTATTTAATAATGTAGGCCTATCTAATGTTTAATGAATTTAATTCTCACTAATAACACACCCAGGTAAAGTTTCCTTGCTCAGTGATCAGGGGGCGCCGATAGGGAATGGGATTGCGCCCAATGACTCACATCACAAGGAATTTCTGCGGCAGCTATAAAACACCTGAAGCGCTTGCTTAGACTTAGTGAATCTACTCTGGTGGAGTTAACATGGGCACTGAGTCAGATAACGGCATCCTTAAAGAAGGTTTTTTGGTGAAAAGGGTGAGCGACTCTTTTGGACTTTTTATCCATATGTCAAATTAATTGCTAGGCTACTTTACTGGATTATTAACAAATGATTTTCGTTTTTAGGGCCACGTGGTTCAGAATTGGAAAGTTCGTTGGTTTGTTCTTAAATCGGACAAACTTATGTATTATAAGTATGAAGGCGGCAAACGGGATTCCTGCCATCGAGGGACGATACATTTAAGTAACTGCAAAATCACCTGTCCTTGCCTGGAGTACGAAAACAGACCGGTAAGTGAGAACAGTTAAAGTATTCGACTTTGTTTTTATTTATTTTGTGTGTAGTGTGTAGGCTACTGTAGTTCAATTTTACAACAAAGCGATATTTTGTGTTTTAAAGATTGTTTGCACACAGAATTCTAGCTGCTACTCTCAAGCAGTGTTTGGGAAAGTTAATTTTTAAAGTAACTTGTAAAATAAAGTTAGCCTAAGTTAGTTAGTTAGTCTTATCTGGGCTTTTTTTTGTTAATAATAATAATAAAAAAGATATATTTTTGGAAAATGTAAAGGCCGTTACACAACAAAAGCTGGCTGAAAGAAATTCAAATTCACACCTAACTACAGAATAGCCTACCAGCCGCAGCTCAAATAAAGCTTTTTGTGCTGCCATTCTGGATTGCAGAAGAATAGGAAGCAGCAGAAATTTTAACACGCTTTCTTAGCAAAAAATAAATAAATAAAATAATAATAATAAATAAACAAATGTGAACTATTTTTGCTTATTAGTATGGTTGAATTGGATCATTGAAGGTCAGCAGCAAAGACATTGGTTAATAAAGTGAGATTAAATATATAAAGTATATTTGTGTTTATTTAACACATTTACATTTTTGGTTTGCGTAATATTTTGAGTTTGCATTTACTAATCGGATTACATAACTCCGATTACATAACTCCAGATATACTCCGAACTACTTGTAATGCGCTACCCCCAACTCTGCTCTCAACTATTCTACAGACATTATTAACATTATTATTTAATTTCAGCATTAATTTGGTAATATGCAGTCTAATATGCAGGAATTATCCTGGCTTATCAGTGGTCTAGTTCAAATTACACCTTGAACACTAAACCAAACACTGGGAGTGTCTCAGTGCTTTAAATGTTCACAGCCTTTCATTATTTCTTTTTGCATTGCTCACAAGCACTGGCATGTCAGGAACACAGATTTTATTTTCCCCAGTAGATCTTTGCAATGTCTTTGATTTATATATAAGAGCTGCAGTCAATGCCAGCTTCAGAGTGATGGAGTTTGTCATGTTTGTGGCGATTTCCTTTACATTCTTCTGATACAAAAAGTTCTGCATTTATCACCAACAATTTAAAATGTTTGTTTAGGGCGTGACTGAAGACTGTTGTCATATTAACCACATTTTACACCCTGTAGTTGGTGATGAAGCTGCTGACCAACACTGCAGATGAGCACTTTCTGGAGGCTTGCATGAGGGAGGAACGTGACGAATGGGCATCAGCGATTGGTGGAGCAGTACAGAAGCTTAACCCACGTGATGCACAGACCCCCTCCCCATCACATATTAAAGGATCTACGTCACTCCAGCTTCACAATGTCAACCTCAGGTAAATATGTGTGCATTATGTCAATATATGTGAATATGTGTGTGCAACTCCATGTCTAAACGTATATCTGTTTATCAGTCAGGTGGTGGACTCCATGTATGATGTGCACACTGGTATCCGGCTAAGCAGTCATGTTGAGCAGGCCAGCTCTTACACCAACTGTTTCTCAGGTCAGGCAATCAAAAACACACATTAAAGCATGAATGTGCATTATTCAAATAATTACAATCTCTCTCGCTAATGTTAATGTTTATTTACACTGCTGCTCAAGAGTTGGTAAGAATGTTTTTGAAAGAACACTTTCATGCTCACCTGCATTTATGTGATCATAAATTCAGTAAAACAGCAATATTTTCAGCTGAATAACTTTTTTTTTTTATCTTAATATCTTTTAAAATGTTACTTATTGCTGTGATGGCAATCTTTAAAGCCATTACTCCAATCTTCAGTGTCACATGATGTGTAGAAACCCCTAAAATATGGTTATAAGACTAAACTTGACATTATCCCTAAACCTATCTTTCACATCTGATTGAATGATTGGAATGTTGTTCCAGGAACATTTTACTAGGTGAAATCAGGTTCACCTACCTTTTAGACATAATATCGACAGTTTCTTTGTTTTGTTTCCGTTCCTGAAAAAATCACTCTTTGAACAAATACGTTGTGTAAATGATTCTCTTGAAAACAGTCACTTGTCGCAACCTACCAGCGATACCGTTGCAGAAAAAGTCATTTGTCACTAACACATAGTACTGTCAGTCTGCCTGGAACATGCAAACACAATCCAGTGCTGTTGCTCTGATATCAAAGATCGGAAGTGTTTCATATTTGAATGTTTGTGTGTGCAGGCTCAGCAGTGGTGGATTGGCTTGTGTTTAATAGGCTGGCTTTGACCCGTGTCGAGTCAGTAACATTAGCCTCTGCGCTGCTTGATGAAGCCTCCCTACGGCCCGTCGGGATCAGGAGCGCGGACGCTCTCCGTAACGCTGCTCTAGGAGAACAGTTCCTCGATGACTCCACTGCACTCTACTGCTTTGTAAGTTCCAAATCTTTCTTTTTGATTTATTCTTACTCAACCTTTTTGTTATCATATTAGATACTAGATATAAATATAAGTTGATTTCTCAAACAGTCCCAAAGCTTCCAGAAGCGAGGCAGTGTGAAATCAGAAAAGTCTCGGTCTGCGGTGGAGCTGAGTGGAAAGGTGGTGAAGAGAGGTTACCTGCTCAAACAGGTGGAGGTTTTGAAGTGAACTAGGCTACTTATTTGTGATGCTAGCGGTCTGCGTGTTCACTCACCTGTTTATCTGTGTGTCAGGGGCACAAGGTGAAGAACTGGAAAGTAAGATTGTTTATTCTGAGGGCGGAGCCTGGTTTCCTGCACTACTATGACCCCAGCAAGGTGAGAAGAACACTGATGTGCAGTTTTACAGACTTACAAGTACATAGATGCTAGAGTCTAAAGAAATCATGTGATGTTTATTTTTGTACTGACTTGTTTACTTCCTGATGGCCACCTTTCTCAGGATGACATCACTCCGGTTGGCAGTATATCTTTGCGTGGCTGTCTGGTGTCTGCCCTCGATGATAACGGCACACCGCCAGGTGAGTCAGACTTTTGCCTCTTCTATGAAAGTCTCTAAGGTGTGATGATTGCCTGATACCACAAATTAATATTTACAAAATAATCACACATATTAATTAGAATTAAGGGAAGACTTTCTGCAAGGTCTTGTTGACTTGGTAGCAGCAATATTTACAGATAAATACTGTAAACACAGAAACTAATGGCCACTTTCTTGTAATCTGCAGGTGTTAAAGGTAAAGTCCAGGGGAACCTCTTTAAAATCATAACTCAGATGGAGACACACTATTACATCCAGTCTCCAACACACGAGGAGAGGATGGACTGGATACAAGCTATTAGAAAAGTGACTTAATTATGCTACACATCGCACTAAGTGTTACATCACAGTAACACTTATAGGTCATTTTTGGTATTATCTTCATTGCTATTGTTAACAGTGTTAGTATTGGTATTGTTAGCTAATTATATATTTTAATGTTGAGTATGTGCAAAGTGCAAACTAAATAAAATACAAGTGTTATACAGCTGATAAAAAATATGAATAATACAAATAATTATTATATTATAATTATAATATAATAATTATTATAATAATTATTAATCAATAATTATACAATTAATAATATAATTGGGGCACAGCATGAGACCTAATTCTAATTAGCATAGAATATTTTAATATAATTCAGATTTTCCAAGATTTCAGTGCCCCTGATAAAGTCTACATTTCGTGCATGAGTTAATGTTTGATATATTTGAATGTGGTAAAGCTTATACATTTAGTGAATGTACTATGAAAGTGTAAATGATGATAAGTGAATTTGTTTTTTATGTCAGATTTTGTCCAAAAAAAATGTATTTGAATAATTGTCATGCCTGCAGTTTTGTTGTGAACCGTTAACATGTTTTTACCTGCCTTCCGTTTGTCTAAAACGTTGTTAGTTAACAGAACTGACTTCATGTCTTGCATAAGCCTGTTGATTTGTTGCTATGGTTTAAACACACACACACACACACACACTGTGCCTGTGAATGTTTCTCTCTCAAATGCCGAAAAACACGTGTTTTCATGTGTTATGAGGGCATTCATATAATGATTTTTATACAGTAAAAACTGTATATTGTATCCCCTCAGGCTACAATAAGTCTACACATCACCGAAAACTTTCAGCATTTTTTCCATGTTTTTTTAATTAGCCATTTGGTTTGAGAAAGTATCCTCGTAAACCACGTTTACATTGTAATACCCATGTCATAATGCACATTTCTGTCCTCATAAACCATACAAGGACACACACATAAATCCAATAATCAGATGTTCTTAAAAGTTCTTTAAGAAAAGTTTACTGTGTTTACAGTACATATTGCAATTATTAGGTGTTAACAGATATTCAAGTAAACCTTGCTATGAACCTAATCATTCAAGTTTTTTATATATGCTTCATTTGCAGCATTAAGTGTTTAGATTGACAGCACCAAGTACAGGCTTCAGATGGACTTTGAGTCCTTTTTCCTCAAACCAATTAAATTGCAGCGAACTGCATTTTAAAGTGAACATTCAGGTGTCAGTTATGAATGCTTTAAACTGTTATGCGGTACATTCACATGAGGAAAAGATTAACAGAAAAACTATTATCTTAGTTATTCTGTTGTTAACTAATTTTTCAGACAGTCAAACAAAAGCATGTTGTTGTTGATACATTCCTGCAGCTCAAAGAGTTCAATTCCCAGGGAATGCATGAACTGATCAAATGTATAATTTGAATGCAATGCAAGTTGCTTTGGATACAAGCATCTTCCAAATGTGTAAATGTAAATACAAATTAATTTGAACACCAATAACTGCTACAGCACACCTAAAGTCTTCTACGTATAAGTGCATCTAATGGAACAAATGAAGGCACTTTCGCTTCTGTATCAAAGAGCCAAATAAGCTAACTAATATATCTAATCACAAAGCAAACAAAAAAGGTAGTACATTATGTGTTTTAAAAACTATCTTCGTTCTGAGCTAGTTATTTAATTCTTAATTTTAATTTAGAACGCCACTGTTTTGTAGACTACAGCTGGTTGCACATCTACAAATATGTCCAAACAAACACACAATCATCTTTTAAAATGAACAGGCTCATTTTCCACTGCAAATAAAAATAACTAGAGAAAATGTAAAAAGAAAATCGCTAATTAGCCTTTACCAAAACAAACACAGATCCAACTGAAATGAGTTGTAAAGATTTCAAATGATCTGATGGAGTTCTGGAACTTTACAACAATCGTGTACAGTACGCTCTGGGTTATAAAACCTTAGTTTAGTTGCTTCATTGATTAGTCTGTCATAATGGCAGACAATTCCTCTCTTTTTCAAGCCACTTTGGTGAGCTGTAGGTCTCCGTGAACTCTAAGAGCAGTGAGAGATGCTAGCTGAGTCAATCTGTGAGAAAAACCACATAACGGTTGCCCATCCACCAGAATACGGAACTGCTGGTGCTCGCACACAATCTCCATCTGGGAGAGATAGAGAAGGAAATAACATTATTGTGACAGAAAGGTATGACATTACCAAAGGCTTCATCAGATGTGATCACACCCTCCAAACACACACTCTAGTCTCTACCTTAAAAGGCTCTCCTGGAGCAAAGGGAAAGAAAGACAGGGCCGTCTCTGAAGTGCCCCACTGTCCTGAGAGGCGAGCGTTACGATGCACAGCCTTTTCTGAAAAGTTCACCTTTAACTCCAGACCCACATCACCCTCGATTTCCTCATCCCCCTCTCCTTTAGGCTGGCATGACACTAACACCATCATACTAAAGAGACAGTTGAAAAAAAACAAAACAAAAAAACATTTGGGGATTTTTAACATTGGATTTTGCAGGTTTAAGAACAAACATCATTTTAACAGACCGAGTCAATTGCATTTACATTTATTCATTTAGCAGACGCTTTTATCCAAAGCAACTTACAAATCAGAACAATAGAAGCAGTACTAACAGTAGGACAACAATACGTAAGTGCCGTCACAGTTTAATTTTAGTGCAGTTTTTTTTTTTTTGTAAATAGAAAAGAAGAGAAAGAACCCTTGCCAAATATGGCCAGAATTCTCAGAAATCTTTTTTTTCTTTTTTTTTCTAGATCTGGGCAGCTAAGCCTTCATGGGAATTGAACCTTTCCCACACTGGCAAAACAGAAGTGGACAACAACAGCTGGAAAACCACATGTATTGCACTATATGTATATATAAAAAAGTTAAGATTGAATTTTTTTTTTTTATAATTGATATGTAATTACCATTATAAGGTTCTAACCATTATAAGGTTCCTTAAACATCATATCATAGATGATAAGTAAGTAAAAAGTATAAATTACCTTAATTTGTGGAGAATTTTTTTTCCTGCCATAATTCCCTTCTCATGACATGTTTTATTTAAAATGTTTTATATATAGGCCTACATAATTATTATTATATTCTATACAGTAAAGTATAATATATTGCATAAAATGCAACATAACACACAGCCATGTAATACAAAACACTTGATTCCTTGTGTATTCACGGTTGGCACCCATGTTTTCTTCTGGTTGAATCCCCGATACAACTGGCTCATTGTGTAAACGCACTGAAGGCGCGTCTCGTTCTCAATGAACCGAGTCATTCGGGATGCGCGATGTGACAGTTAATAAATAAACACAAGAAACACACACACACACACACACACACACACACACACACACACACACACACACACACACACACACACACACACACAGAGAGAGACAGACAGACAGACAGACAGACAGGTGTGTCTACTATACCAACCTTTTTGGCTGCTTGTGAACAATACCCATCACTATCAGCCTCATGGTCGGCCGTAGACCCCCTTTGATCTCTCCAACATAGTCCTCCTCCTGCAGGAATAGTGTTTTACAGTCATTCAAACATTTGATGCTATTCAGGCCAGGCAAAATCAGAATAATGTACTGATTTAAAATCAACACGATTTCTTAAAACCAGTGCTGCGAGACAAGGAAAAGAAAAGGTTCTCCAATTCTTCATTCAACCATTCTTCAACCCTTTCTCAGTTTACAGTTTATTTATGCAGATTACAGAGTCGCATCATTTATCGTTTTAGTCGATTATATCACAGTAATCAGCGTGGTCTAATATATTTCAGCTCAGCCTATACGTCACTGTTTCAACACAATTTACAGTCTTAGTGGCTGAGAAACTATAAAATAATCGTCATCATACTTACGTTTCGGATGTTACCCTTATCTGTCATGCTTTCTTCTGTCGCTTTAGTTTAGTCGTGCAGGTGTTGCGTTTCATGCGCGAGGACAATAGCTGTCATGCACGAGATTGATCATGGCAGAGCGCGAGACCGGTGTTGAATTCGCGAACCCCGCCTCGCGCCACCGCGTTTCCATAGAAACCATCACAGACAAGGAGTGATGATGATGACAAAAATACAGCAGTGACTTCAGTAATAGTCTACTAATTCTGTTTATACATATACATACAATCATACAATACATATATATATATATATATATATATATATATATATACATACATACATATTGTATATATATAGGCCCTATATATACATACATATATTAAATATACTAAAGCCAGGCTAATTAATGTGGTTCAGATAACATATGCCTATTTTGAATTTCTATGTAATAAACCAATCTCCTTCATTGAATTAACTCATTAACTTACCAACTAGGCTAACTTACTTTGTTAAGTTAAACCAACAATGTGTATATATATTAATTTAGTTTATTAATTACAATATAATTAATTTTGAATTCTGCATTTGAATAATTACAATGCTTAACCTCATACATTAAAGTGAACTTCTCTCAAGATAAACATGGGAATAAGTTCATTTAATGGTGTAACTAATCACAAACATGGACAACACACTCGAGGGACAAGTATAACTCCTTAAGTCAAATGAGATGTCACTATTGTTTCACATTGCCATCTAACCAGTCTGGCACTTTGTTTCTGCAATATGTTTTTACCACCTAGAGAGAGTTTCCAGGGCTTAAGCTCAGTATTACTGATCACATTTCCCTGTGTCAGTCTAGGTTGTTTTGTAGTAGGCTACACAAGGCTAATTCTGTCTGTAAGTACTTCTCATTGCTTTCTAAATTAAAATTCAATTAATACCAAATTCATCTTGCCAGGGCAGCAAGACAGAAACAAGAAAAATATATGAGCTAAAGACATGTATCAAAAACTTTGCTTACTGCGGCCATCACAATGTAATGTTTAAATAAACACCTGTTTTTATTTTATTTTTATGAAACACACTTATTTACAAAGCACAATTTACAAAATCTCTTGATGGGAGACTCATGTGCAGAACATAATTGAACACAATTAAATAGAACAAAATTCGATAAAGAAAATAAATACAAATAAATATAAAATAAAATAAATTAAGCAAAGGCATTTCAGTCCTCAAGGCATGTCAAAGTCATTTCCATACATATATTGTCCTCAGTCTTCATATTCTAAAGTTACATGGAAGCTTTACAAATTATAATGACAAATATTTTGAGACGTCTTCGCTTAGAGAGTAAATGTTAGGCTATCACTGGAGTCTTTCAAAAGTTTCATAGAAGGAATCCCATCAGTTCAATTTTAATGGATGGATTTTTGTTTTGCTATTTACATTTATTAATATGGTATTTACCCATAATTGTTTTACAACAACTATCCACCAAAACAAAAAGAAAAAGTGAGAGATAACTTTGGGAGCCACTGGGATTCAAATATTAAAACAAAGGCATCCTATGTCTTCCGCCAGAGGTCGCTCGAGCGGATCAGAAAATAGGCGCATAATCTGTCAAATTGTTTGTACAGAATAATGTAACGAGAATTATTATTTAATTAGAACTCCAGCCTGTTGTGATACATGCAATTTCATCTACGCCCAATATTTAATTTCTATTGCTTTGACCCTTGAACTGACAGCTCCTGGATCAGCTGATTGAGTCACATGACTCGCCTCGCTCATGGCCACACACAGCTGATGATGGGAAGGAAGCGCATTTGAACGCGCTGGTCTTTAGTGTGAGATAAAGAAGGACAAACCCAAATCGTAAGTGCTAATTTAACGAAATACTTATTTTTGTACTCCAGCGTAAAACGATGTACAACATTTTGATAGTGTAATCGATTCCCCCCTTTTCCTAAACTACATTGATTAGGTCGGCACTGTGTCGGTTGTTTTGTTGTCAGTATTTCACTTTTAACAGCTGGTATAACAGTTACATAAATGAAAGTTTGAATCACATTGATCGCAATGTAAACACATTATGGAAGTCGTCAAAAGCCGAAATGCTGACATGTCTTCTTTAACTTTAGAAACATGTTTTGCTCTTCTTTTCACAAGTGCTAAGTCAATACAATTTTGTTGATTTTGGAATGTTATTGAATACATGAACATTTCAACATGTGTTGCAGCAAAGGGAAACGTCTTATTAAAAAAGTGTGCATGTATTTTGCTTTTGATTTGATCTCAGTTATGATGGTTACAAAACCGTTGATGATTTTCTTTCATTTTCTATCCCCTCAGTCAGATGTCGAATCCTCCATAACACACCCGAGTCCAGTAATCTTTCCGTGGACCTCAACAGCTGCTGAACTATCTGTCTATCATGCATCCGTTTGGCCGTGAAGAAGAGACCTCCAGGCGGGAGCTGTTCGGTTTCTTCACGCGGTGTTTGCGGCGCGGAGAGTGGGAGCTCGCGGCAGCCTGCGTGCGTCAGCTCGGCGACGAGCGCGGAGATGATCCTCAAAGCCCGCAGGACATCGTCAAAGCCATCGTTACTCACCCATATCTGCTTAGGTCAGTGAAACCCTGACAGACATCTACAGGAATGGGTATTAAAGTCGTAATTAACCACGTGAGCACGTTATGTCAAAACAATGTAAACAAATACATTGTCTTTCATGGTGCTTACAGTATCTATGGTATTTTGGCGGAAACTGTGGTTGCATTGGTAAATGTTTATAAGTGGTACTCAACCTCATTATCGAGAGAGTTCAAGAAGCTAAAGTTGAGAGATTTTAAGAGACACATATGTTATTTTTCTGTTTATACACAGGTGGGAAACAGTAGGCAGCCCCCACAAATTGGCCTGGTATTGGCTTCAAGTCCTGGAGAAACGGACTAAAATAAAGGTGTGTATTTTCTGCTGGATATAATTTTACCATTGATGCTTCAAGCAGGAAGCACTCATCACTATTATCAGTTCTTCCTTTTTCTAATTCAGAGTATGGGCATTTCTCTGCAGGTGGATGGGTCTGTGAAGACAGAACTGGAGTTCCTGTTGCTCTTAGAGGAACTTGAAGATGTCCCACAGTCTGTACTTAAGGTAGGACTATCTCCAACTACTGTATGTTGCTTTCACAGCCCTGACACTGTTGTAACAACTTTATGGCTTTATATTGACAAAGCACTGATTATTTTCTTTGAACTCTAATAAGGTCCTACTCTTATCAGTTGCTGTTGTGCATGTGTGCACAGTTGAGCAAGACATGTAATAATGCTTTGTTTTTGCTCTCCTTCTTCCAATCCAACGAATATTGAATACCATTTCCATGTTAAAGAGTTATAATCCTTGACCCAAACCAACCACATTTGAGATGTAAATCATAATTAGATGAAAAAAAAATAAATAAAATAAAAATAAAGTTTTGTGAGGCAAAAATCTACTAATCTCATTTTCATTGGAAAATTCCCAAATTGCAAACGAAACAACATACAAATTCTTATTTTTGGCTAAAATTCTAAAGTAAAACTTTTTGGCTGTTGTTAATGGTGTAGTGATGTATGAAGCACGTATCACAGAGAAATCTTGTTCTGTTTCAAACCATGCAGCTTTCTATTGGTCAGCACTCCAAATCTGCATAACCAACTTGAACCCGTTACAAAATCTTTCACTCTCAAGTGAAATTTCAGGCTGTGCGAAATCCTAGTAAAATAAACAATGACAAATGTGACTACACCTTGAAAAAGTCGGCATGAAATCAAATTTGACTAATCTTCTTTTTATATGTAATATTGTAGTGTTTATTATAAATGATTTATCTGTGTACTTCATTATTTTTTTTACATTCATGTATCCTTATAATCTTTAATCAAATACATTATCCTTTCCTCCCCTCTCGAAACGACCTCTCTTCTCTTTCGCTCATGTGCCATGGCGAAAGGGTGCGGCCAGAGCCGATGAGGGTTTGGCTATCGGTGCACTGTCTCTCAGACTGAATGTAAACTGCCATTGAAATCTGCCTTTCATTTTGTTCTTCCACTTTGTCCTATATCTTCCATAGGAGCTGCATGAAGCCTTCCTGTACTCTGAGGAAGTAAAAGGAAAGATTCCAGGTCATTCTACTCCTCCACTGAGTGCTGCTGTCCTATCCTGCTTCCGATCTCTTTTAACCCGCCAGCAGCCGCGGCTCTGCCACTCTCTCATCAGCTTCCTTCAGCACGCGGACCTCTCCAGAGACCATGCCTTACAGGACGTCTTCATCCAGCACCTCACCATGAAAGTGAATGTGCCTGTGGAAGAGAGGAACGAGAAATGGGTGGAGCAGGTATGTGCAGTGCTGGCCTTAGCACCATGGGGGTCCGAAAGGTCAGGTGCTGAGCTAGAGACCCTGTGGAAGGGATTGTGGTCGGCCAGAGAAGGGCTCCTGACGGAGGAGAGGATTCTGGGATGTCTACTGAGGCCACAGGGCCAAGCTCTGTTGACTGCATATAGCTCCACAGCACTCAGATTGCTCAAAGAGAAACTCCTGGGAGAGGCTCCACACACACAGGGTGAGTCAGATAAGTTTACTGTAGTCGTGCAAACAACCAGGTAAAGAAACACATTTTGTAGCCTTAAAAATGTCTCAAAAGGAGACACAGGAAAAACATAGGGAGAGCAGTAGCTTTCGTTTCTGCACTGATAGCCACAAGACCATGCTGAATGAAAGAGAACTTTGTGTTTTGTAAGTTTTTTAATCTTCAAACCAAACTTGGATCTTCAGTCGACAAATTTTTAAATCCTGTCTGGCTAGCGCACTTCCCATAATGTTTATGCATTAGGTCAGTAGACAGAGAGTAGGCGATATTTTGTAGATATTCGAACACATTCGACCACATGAGCATCTACACTATGAAAGCAATCTGGTTGCTACCTCTGAAAGTGGTCAATAGTGGACAAGCTCAAAAGACCCCTTTTACACCTGTATTTAGCGTCGTCCACTTGTGATCTGATCTACCAAAATGCTTCATCTTTTATACAAGGTGTAAAAGTGTTGATTTGAGTATTTGTTTCTTAAAAAATAAAAAAAAACATACTGACAGCCCTCTTTTGAACATCATTTTATCTGGAAGCACAGTAGTATTAAAAGGTAATTCTAAACCACCAAAAATACTGGTATTGGTTTCAGCATCGTGCCATGTTTTAAGGAAGTGAAGGGAAGGAAACAGACTTTATGTGGTGTGTTTGCCATCTCCTTAACTGTTGACTTCACACTTCTGCTCATGTAGTCCTAGTTCCTTCCTAAAATGTTCTCAGTTGTCACACCATTTGCATGTGATTGTTTTTTGTTTTTTTTAAAGACATGATTTTTTGTGTTCTTGATGCATGTCTGAAATTCATCTCTATTCCCTTCTAGTTGACTTGCCTGATCTGGAAAGGGTCATGCTTGGCCTGTGCTGTCATGGTGACAAGCGTTTGGTGTGGAAAGCCATTTACTTTGAGTGTTTGAGCAGTGGAAAACACTTTCTAGAGCAGGTCTTGGTAGGTGTACACAATCAGGCGAACAGTAGCCTGCAAATAAATGTGTATATCATTGAAATGCAATTTGTCATTCTTTTTCTGCACCATCACCACTAGCTATGTTTCCATCCACCTGTTTTTAAATGCATTTTGGAATATCGCACTTATGCGTTATCACTTATTAAACTTGAAAAAAGAATTTTTCGATAGCACATAAATTACGATGGAAACACATTTACCGAATAAATTCCACCATGCTCATAAAAAAAAAAAAAAAAAAAAACATGACATTATGGGACTGGAAAAATATTGCCTGGTCTGATGAGTCTCAATTTCTGTTGAGACATTCAGATGGTAGAGTCAGAATTTGGCGTAAACAGAATGAGAACATGTATCCATCATGCCTTGTTACCACGGTGCAGGCTGGTGTGTTTTTTATTATTGATTTTCTTGGCTCACTTTAGGCCTCTTAGTGCCAATTGGGCATCGTTTAAATGCCACGGCCTACCTGAGCATTTTGTTTCTGACCATGTCCATCCCTTTATGGCCACCATGTACCCATCCTCTGATGGCTACTTCCAGCTGGATAAAGCACCATGTCACAAAGGTCGAATCATTTCAAATTGGTTTCTTGAACATGACAATAAGTTCACTGTACTAAAATGGCCCCCACAGTCACCAGATCTCAACCCAATAGAGCATCTTTGAGATGTGGCGGAACGGGCGCTTCGTGCCCCGGATGTGCATCCCACAAATCTCCATCAACTGCAAGATGCTATCCTATCAATATGGGCCAACATTTCTAAAGAATGCTTTCAGCACCTTGTTGAATCAATGCCCCATAGAATTAAGGCAGTTCTGAAGGTGAAAGTGGGTCAAACACAGTATTGGTATGGTGTTCCTAATAATCCTTTAGGTGAGTGTATTTTAGCTCTATATTATATACTGTGGCTTCTGCATCAAGATTTTTTTATTGCCAGTTTATCAGGAAGTGATGATTTGTTCTCTTCGACTCACTGGATTGAAATAGTGCTTTATTTGCAAATGATTTTTGCGGTATTCCAATTTTTCGCTAAGCTAAATTCGCAACTTTGGATGGAAACATAGCAACTGTCTTATAGTCAACGAGAGTCAAGTTTCTTTACTTAAAACAAAGAAAAAAGTTTCTTTCTTTAAAAAAAAGACATGTATAAAAGTGTATAGGTGAAAGCAACTCAGTTTCCTTTAGTTGTATAATTGCAATGATCCATCATCTGTTGTTTGCAGCTTACTGGTTTAGATCTCATAAAAAGGGAGGAATTCTCCAAACTGGAAACGCTGTTGCAGACTGAGTTTCAGCCTTTGTCCCGTCTCTTGTTGTTGCTGGGCTGGATGCATTGTCAAAGCATGGATTCTGCCAAGAACCTTCTTAGAGTCCTGCATCACCAACAGGTGAGTTGCCAGATATTTGACTGTCAGTACAAAGTCTGGTCCATTCTGCTACTCATTCTGGCCAAGATCTACTCACTAAGACAGATATTTCATTGATATGTAGTACTGTACGAGTTGATGGAACAATAATAGACTGGTGTGGCAAAAATAGTTGAAATGTTGGCGTCTGACCAGCTACACAGTAAAGACTAAAAAAATCATTCATATCAGCAACCCATTATCTTTGTAACACAACATTGTAAATAATAATAATAAAAAAAAACTGCCTGAAAGTGGAAATGTCAGCTAGATTTAGTCAGTTTTTGTTTAAAATAACCCTCTTTAAAGGCTTTCAATTCCTGTAATTGTTTTATATAGTAATCCTTAAGTTACAAGAACATCAAAAATCCCCTCCAGCTAAGGTGTGATCATGACATGCACTTCTAAAATATGTCATGTTTGCGCATGAAACACTCGTGATTGTGAGCATTTAGTTTTTAGTTTTCAAAGCTGTGGCCTGGAGATATAGGATTTTTTTCTGTCTTTTTTCTTATATCTGTTTATTTATATCATATGTGAATGATGACTCATTTGTTTATGTAAACGTGTATGTAAATGAATTAATAAGCCTTTCTTTCTCTTTGTAGCCCCAGACCACTGATTCAGTATTGAGTGAGTTAGCCTGCACTCTGTCATCTCAACTTGCTGTACTGGAATGGTGTGATCAGAACAATCCGTGAGTTAAAACACTGTTTGTACATTTTCACATGAAAATAATTTCCCGTTATAGATTAAAGGGTTAGTTCACCCAAAGATGAAAATTCTGTCAGTATTTACTCACCCTCATGTTGTTCCAAACCTCTATGTGTTTATTTGTTCTGCTGAACACAAAGGAATATATTTGGAAGAATGTTTTAATCAAACAGATCTCATTCCCCATTGACTACCATAGTAGGAAAAAATACTACAATGGTAGTCAATGGGGAATGAGATCTGTTTGATTAAAACATTCTTCCAAATATCTTCCTTTTTGTTTAGCAGAACAAATAAACACATAGAGGTTTGGAACAACATGAGGGTGAGTAAATACTGACAGAATTTTCATTTTTGGGTGAACTAACCCTTTAATTTAAAAGAGCTATTTGTTCACCTTCACTACCGTTTAAAAGTTGGGGGTCGGTAAGATTTTTAAATGTTTTTAAAGAAGTCTCTTATGCTCACCAAGATAAATTAGTTGATCAAAAATACAGTAAAAACAGCAATATTGTGAAATATTCTTACAATTTAAAATAAGTGTCACCTGCTCCTTTAGGAATCATTTTAATATGATTTATCTAATAAATCATTTTAATATGCTGATAGGATTTAATTTATTGTTCTTATCAATGTTGAAAACATTTTCAATTTTTTTTTCCGGATTTTTTAGGAATAGAATGTTCAAAAGAGCATTTATTTCAGAAGTCTTTTGTAACATTGTAATTGTCTTAAAGGGTTAGTTCACCCAAAAATGAAAATTATTCGCCCTCATGTTGTTCCAACCCCGTAAGACTTTCTTTGGAAAACAAATTAAGATATTTTTTTATATATCACTCCTATATCTAAAACTATATCACTCCTTCATTGGCTGTTAGGTAATTGCATCTGCCGGCCCAGAAAAGTTTGTAAAGATAGTGTTAAAATAGTCCGAGTGACTACAGTGGCTCAACCTTAAGTTTATCAAGCAACAAGAACAATTTTTGTGCGCAAAAACAAACAAGAATAACAACTTTATTAAACTATTAATTTTCTTCTGTGTGGGCCTCTGTTGTGAGTTCAAAAGAGCGTCAGATGCATGCGCGAGAATTGAGAAGATGACGCAGATGGGTCTCATTTTATAATGGTTCTAAAGTGTGCATTTCCTGAATGTCCGAATTGTAAAAAATCAACGAGAAAACATAAAAGTGCCTCACCAATGCTGCAAAATGAATGGCTTACCGAATGTCTTGCGGGGTTGGAACAACATGAGGGTGAGTAATTACTGACAGAATTTTCATTTTTGGGTGAACTAACCCTTTAACTGTCACTTTTGATCAATTTAACGCCTCTTTGCGGAATAAAACATCCTTACTGACCCCAAACTTGAATGGTGGAGTATGTTCTTTTTTTGTTCACTGGTATACATACTTACACAGAGGAATATCCCATGAATCCTTGCTGAGTCACTTACACATGCTGGACCATCACTCTGCCCTGTATGTTCTGCACTGCCTGACACCCCTTGCCAAGTATGAGGAGCACAAGGTGCTTGAACTACTGCAAAGAACAGGTATGAGAATCATGCTGTCACAGGGGGTTCATTTAAATTTACACATATCTGCTGAACGTTAAAATCTTTGTTTCTTATTTGTAGGAGATCCTTCAGTAGTGGACTCACCCAACTGCTCTGTCCAGCGAAACATCACTCTGTTTCAAGGCTTCTGTGCCATGAAGTATGCCTTGTATGCCATCTGTGTGAATGCACACATGCATACCGGCTGCCTGGACTGTGTGCCTCGGCATCAGCAGCACACAGAGGTGGGGCAGGTGGAGGAGCCAGATGGAGGTGACCACTGCTTTTTTCCTATAGTAAAACAAAAACCAAAACTCTTCCCATTGTTATATCAACCTTATTAAAGGAACACTCCGACTTTTTGGGACTTTAGCCTATTCACCTTACCCCCCAGAGTTAGATAAGTCCATACATACCTTTTTCATCTCCGTGCGTGCTATAAGTCTGTTTGACGCACCCACCGCTAGCCTAGCTTAGCACAAAGACTGGATGTGAATGGTTGCAGCTTTCATACTAATCCAAATGAGTGGCAAAATAACGCAAACGTTTTCCTATTTACATGTTGTGGTTTGTATAGTCACAGAGTGTGCAAATATCAAGGCCATATGAGACACAGACATCTTTTAACCGTATAAATAATTCTGAAGACGAAGCACTGCTACTTGGGCAGAGTGATAACAATCACCTGAGACGCACCGTGACGAGGAGCAGAGTGTTCGCTCAGTGTTTGGGTAACAGAGTCAGCAATTACTAACGTTAGATAGAAAAGCATAGTTTATCATGGGTGTTTGCTTTATTGTATGAGCTGTGACAATAAACAGGGGAGACCAGGTAATACAGTACCATGTTTCATTGATTTCCAACCAAAAACGCACCCAGATTTATAAATATCATGAATAAATAATTATTATTACAGGAATCAATATATTTTAAATGCAATTTATTAGCTGAACCAAATGTATTCAACAGTAGCCTATATAATATACAGTATTGCATTACTATAGGATAGAATAAGGGGAAAGTAATAGCACAAATTGTTTTTGCACAATGAACTCACAGCCTATCCTACCCTTTTGCACGCTCAAGTTCGTTATTTCCATGGTTATTTCAAATTTAGGCTACTAGGCGCGCAGGGTGCAAGTTCAACGCGCTCGTTTTTTTTCCCCAAGCGCGTCCGCACCGCATCAAGATAAAAACATATTCATACCCTAATCATATAATAGTGTCACTAACGTTACATTAGATCTGGCTAAAGGCACTGTTACAGTAGGTCATCTAAAAACATAACGGAACACTTACCTCAGCCGCAGGTGATCCACTTGTCCTGTCTGTGCTATCGATGGGATGGCCGTATCCTTCAGCACATTATGGTCCGTGTGGCAAATTCCATTTTTTCAAAATAGTCGTCCTCATTGAAATGTACCGAGCAAACATAATGTTCCTTGATAATCTTAGGTGTGTTTGGATAAATATCCAGAGTAAGTTAGCCATTTCTTCATCCAGTCAGCGTTTTTAGTTGGAATTCTGTGAAACATGGTTACCTCCCCTGTTTACAGTCGCAGCTATTTACAATAGAGCGAAAACCCATGACTCTAAACTACGCTTTTACTATTTATAAATTGCTGACTCTATTACCCAAACACCGAGCGAACTCTCCGCTCCTCACCACGGCGTGTCTCCGGTGATGCGGTTATTACGCCGTCAAAGTAGCAGTGCTTCGCCTTAAGAGAATAGTTCCCAGGTTTTATACGGTTAAAAGATGTCTGTGTCTCAATTGGCTTGTGTTATTTGTACATTATGTGACTATACAAATCACAACATGTAAATAGGAAAACATTTGCGTTATTTTGCCACTCATTTGGATCAGTATGAAAGCTGCAACCAGTCACATCGAGTCTTTGTGCTAAGCTAGGCTAGCGGTGGGTGCGTCAAACAGACTTATAGCACGCACGGAGATGAAAAAGGTATGTATGGACTTATCTAACTCTGGGGGGTAAGGTGAATAGGCTAAAGTCCCAAAAAGTCGGAGTGTTCCTTTAAGCTCTTCATAATAAACACTATACCAGTTTAAAAACTTTAATTCATTAGAGTGAATTTAATATGATCTTTCCGTTTAACCTTCACATTAAGTGAGCAAATTTTTTTGTTTATCACCAAAATTTTGCTAACTACATATACTTCCCCATACTCTTATTTGTGTTATTTCATAGTTTTGATGAATTTATTGTTCTAAAATGTGGGCAATAGTGAAAGATTGAATAGGTGTGTCCAAACTTTGACTGGTATTGTGTTTATTTTTTTATTTATAGCTTTATTTATTTTTATGTTATTAATTTTGTAATTATTTTTTAAATACGTTAACAAAAACATTTCATGGCATTATTTTTATTTATTTATTATGGTTTCAATGCTTTACTAAATGCCATAAGGCAGGGATTTGGTAATTATTCAGTACCACTTTTCAATCGTTGTACCACTTTTTGGACAAACAAAATGTGATGGATATAAACAAAAAACAAAACAAATGGACAAACATGACAATTTCTTACTCTTCCCAGGATGCTCTGATTTGTTACAACACTACCTATCAGAATGTCAGCTGTACCTAGAAGCTGTTCCGGCATTGTTCCGTTTGGAGCTCTTGGAGAACATTTTCTCCCTCCTCTTCTTGTCTGACACTGACTTCAGCCCACAAGCAGATCTGGTGAGCACCGGCCCAGAAGCCCAACCAGACACAGAGAGAATAAAATCAGACAATACCAAAGGTGTGAGTATGGCTGAGAGCATCTTAAAAGTAAAAAATGTTGAAAAGATGGAGGGATTGAAGGAAGAGGTCCGGGATGGACAGTCTGATCATATAAACCCTGAACTGGGCCACCTGACATCAGGGTGTCGGGGGTTTCTGGTGGATTTGAGTGTGATGGAGCGGATTCTACGGCTGGTGAGGGAGGGCTTGGAGGGTGTGTGTGGGGTCGGGCAGGAGGATGGCAGGGCGCTTGCGGCCGATGTGGAGTTGGCAGAGAGTCTGGGATGTTCTGTTACTGCGGAAACATTCAGCGCCCGGTTACAGAGATTGTCTAAATACACAGCAGAGGCCCAATGGAGACTGCAGATTGTTACTAGTAACCATGGCAAAGGGAATGGTGAGCAATATTATGTAGGATTTTAATATTCATACAGTGACGGTAAAGACATTTATAATGTTAATATGTTTCAAATAAATGCTGATCTTTTGAAGTATCATGAAAACATGAATAATGGTTAATGCATCACAGTATTAAGCTGCACAAGTGTTTTCAACATTGATGATGTTTCTTGAGCAGCAAATAAACATATTAGAATGATTTCTGATTTCTTTCAAAACCATAAAAAAACCCTTTTGAGCAGTTGTCTTTGTATTTGCGTCTGTGTGTGTTTCTGTCTATAGATGGCTTGTACCTCCCATCTCCACTCCCCAGTCCGGCACTTCCTCTGAAACGCGAGGGCAGTGGCAGCAGCAGTTCAGGTGTACGGAGGAGGAGAAAAAACCACCGGCATCGCTCTGAACGTCCCGTCTCATCTGAACGACAGAACGGGGAGGCCAGCGCCTCAGGTGAACACGCACACCTACAAAAGCTTCCTTCCCACATCATGGCTAAATGCGAATGTTGTCATGTTGTCATGATGCCTTGCAGACGGTGGTGTGTGTGTTGGATCCGCTTGCGGTGGATGTGAAGCTTGTCCGTGTGGTGGACCTCACAGCTGGCTGGTTCCTGCGATGCTCTCCCCTCCTGAGTCTCTCCTCATCGCATGCATACGCAGAGGCAACAACATAGAGGCCCAGCAGGTGAGATTTTTGAGAAGTCTAAAGAAGCAGAGCCTTAAATTTATTGGTGATCCAAGCCATATTCTTTATAAGGAGGAAATTCTCTCTAATTCCATTATCAATTAAATAATAGAACAAAAAGTAGTTATTGGTGTTTGTGGGTGAATGTGTTGAATGATGACGTTGAATGTGTTGGTTATTGTGTAATGTCTTAGATGTAGGTGTAGTGTAATATTAGAATTGGAAGTTTAATTTGGAAATTTTATGTTTTGGGTTGTATGGATGAAGTTTGACTGCATGCTGGATTATTGTGTGTTGACCTGCTCTCTCGATTGCCCAAGAGAAAATTCTCCTAAGGGAGAAAATAAATGATAAACTAACTAAGTAACTAACTACAGTAATGATGTCATTCCAATTATGTTGAAGTCATTGTCTATTGACACAGTGAATATGTTCAAAATACATTTTAAGCACAAGCTTATTCTGTTCTATGTTTTAGGGCTTTTTAAATGCTGTGTGAATGTGTTGTGTTTTTTTAGGTGATTGTGATGTATGGTTTGGAGAACTCTGAGTGTGCTGGTGAACTGGTCTTTATGGACCGGTACCGGGAGGTTCTGAACGAGCTGGCTCAGGTGGAACAGAAGATAGAGAGCCAATCCCTTTCTTCATCATCCTCATCTTCAGAGGGTATAAGCACAGTGGTTGTTGCTCCAGTGGGCAGGACCAGAATGGGCAGCAGCAGCAGATTCACACTTAAGTCTATTGGGAGCGCAGCAGCTGCTGGTATTACACACACATTTATGAATCTAAAGAGAAAATACCACATACTTCTATTTTGCTAAAACGCTATCATTTCTTAAGACTAACCCCTTAAGGGGGTCGCACACCGGACGACTAGGACAACTCCAGGTATCGCACACCAGACGTGCACTTTCTCATCAGTGTATGGCCAGCAATATTGTTATGTTTAATGACATGAAATGAAGATAATGTCTGTTCAATGTTATGATTGTACTGTACAATTAAATACAATCATTGCTGAGTCTGCATTCTGAAAACTTTACCTCAGAGCGTCCGTTAACTGAATGAATTGAGAATCTCAGCTGAAAAATCCAATAACATCAGCAATTGTCATTCAAGCAGCTGATTTCTGTAAATGAATGCAAAACTACATGTATAGCGAGTTTAGGATACATTAGCAATGATTTGAGACAAAAACAATACACATTTTATATAAACCTATGTAACTGGCGCTCTGTGGCACAGCAGGATTTTGAACACGGTCCTGAGCCGTTGCTGGCGCCGCCGGTGTGTGTACACTCATTGAGAATAGTGTGTTCGAATTTTAAAGATGTGGCGCTGCGCGACTCGTCCGGTGTGCGACCCCCTTCAAGAATAAAGTGTGCCATGTTATTGTGAGGTATGGATGTCTGTAGACCTTGCTATTTTTCTTTCCTCAGGCATGGCTTTTTATTCCATTTCTGATGTGGCTGAACGTTTACTTAGTACCCCGAGCCGGCCGATACCCTGTCTAGAGGACAGCTACTGGTTGTCCCAGTGCTCTATAGACACCCCTGACCTCGTACAACTCCTGGTTGAAGAGTTGAGCCCTGCAGCTATGGCGGCCTTTGACCTCGCCTGCTGTCAGTGCCAACTGTGGAAAACTTCACGGCAGCTTCTTGAGGCTGCAGAGAGAAGACTCAACATCTTTCTGGAGACTAGAGGTGAGATTGATTGTATCAATCAGCTTTATTATACAGGGGTGTGATTTTTCCGGATGAATCCGTAATTCTAGCTGATTTGGGCCATCCTTGTTGCCGAGCCCTGACTTATTTTACATTCATGTTTCCTACTGCAGGTGTACGAGTAGATGCAAAGGTTCCTCACGCCAACGGAATTAGAGGCTTCCTTTCAGTACTGCAACAAATCAGCAAGGTCCTTAACAGAACCTCCGTCAGCAAAGGCACAAGTAAAACAAGTCTAAACTATTCACACTCATTCAAACATGTATATTTTTAGTCACACCTTGTATGTCATCTTTACTTTAACGTCTTATTTTCTCTAGATTGTAATGGAGAGGAGAATGCTGTTTACTGCCCCTTTGGCTGTAGTGCCCAGGAAGTGCTGCTGTCTTGTCATTTAACATTAACGGAAGAGAGTATCGCCTCTCATCTAAACCTGAATCAGCGCTTAGAGGTCACGCTTCAAACCCTGACCTCTGCCACCAACACCTCAGGTACTAGCAAAGTGAGCTAGCCATTGATTTTGTGCATGTTTTAGCATACCCTGAAACTTTATGGCACACTGAAAACTCTCCTAAATTTTTTTATCTGTCATAGATTTACATTTACTCGAAAAATTAGATTTATTTTCAGTAAACGGGAGGGGCTTTTTAATTGTTTGTTTTCTATGGCATGTCCCCTTTGAATTTAATTTATTCATTTTGTCATTTTTTGTTCCCATGTAGTAGACGCTCTGGCGGGGAGCTCTCTCCTGACAGCGCTGGCCGAACAGGCTGGTCTCAAGCAGTCTGAACTGGATTCCCACCCGGTACGAACTGCTATGAAACAACTCCTGCAATATCTGGACCAGCTCTGCCCGTTTGAGCCTGACAGCGCCCCTGGCAGACCAGATTACATGCGCAACTTCCTTGATTACGTCAACCTGTTGGCTTCAGTACTGGTGCGCAGTTTATGGTCCGAGGGTAAGACCAACGATTCTAATAAACAGAATTAATAAAATGTAATGTCTATAAAGTATTAGGAGCTCTGAGTCTGATATTTGGGATCTGATCTCAGATCAATCCATGGAGGTGAAATTGGGCAATCCTCTTTTACTATTGCTTCAGTCACCTACCCAGCTCCTCTCTCTCCTTCTGTTTGACAGACAGGTGTCACCTGACAGGTAAGAAAGGATCTGTCTTTTCTGAAAGTTGTGGGACTTTACAGATGTACAAATATGTATCATCAGTCATATTCTTTTCTCTTTGCAGGCTTCTTTCTCTCTTGCAGCAGGAGCAGTTGCATTTGAGTGTGCAACAGGTTATAGTTCAGCGCTGCTGTGAATCTCTCCCTCTCTGGGATTCTAGGGCTATGACCTTTTCTCAGGGGCAACCGAAGATTGCAGGGTTCAACGGTGGGGCGTTCTGCCCAGCCAGCATTGCCTCAATCTTCCAGCAGCACGCTCAGGAGTGCGCCCCTTCCCTTGACCTCTCTGACCTTGCCACATCCTCTGACCCTAGTTCTGAGTCTGAGATCTCACTGGAGGACACATCTGCTACATCCTTAATCCTCTCCACCTCTCCGCCCTCACCATCGTCAAGTCCTTCTTCTTCTTTTCTCCTCACTCCATCTGCGCTGTCTTTTCTGAAGTCCCGTTCCCCCCTTGTTGCTGCGCTGGCCTGCCTCAGCGCCAGTCGGGGTGGCGTGATCCGGGCAACTTCTTCTGGCTGGTCAGGCTTGCCTTCATATTTTCGTGGATCTGGGCGTAAAGAAGCAGTTTTGGATGGAGAGCAGATCTCAAGAGAAGGGGAAGCCCTGCTTAAAAACTTCCCTATCCTGAGAATGTACCTCCGGTCCATGGCTGAGCCTGTTCTGGGGGTCTCGTTGGAAGCAGAAGAGGGTCTTGGGCTAGCTCTCTGTGGGAAGCCCGTGGTGGGAATGCTGTTTTCTGGCCTGCAGGGCAATGTAGCGCAAGCAATGGCTGCTGAAGCATTCCAGCAATCCCTAAATGTTGGCGATCTGAACAGAGCCCTGGAGCTCCTAGAGCTTTATGCACAACCCTGCAGCCAGGAGGGGGCCCTCCGGGACAAACTACTGGCATGCACTGCTCTGCAAGGTAAGATCCCTCTCAGATTTACAGTACCTGCACAGAATCTTGGATTAAATGTGACAAAATACCTCAGATACTGTATGTAAAATGTCAAGGCAAAAAATACCTAGTCTATTCTATTCTGGGTTTTGTGACATTTTAGTGACCTGCAACTGCAAGGGATCTTTATTGTTTTTGTCTGCATTGTCTTTATTCAATATCTTTTTGGTGGGTGTTGTTAAAGCCGCTATAAAACTGAAGTAGGGACATCTTTTCATCCATATTGGGATGTAAATGGATTTTCAAAAAAGAAAATCTATAGAGCGAGGACTTGGTTCTATGCACTTGTTGTGTATTGGATGTTGAGATGTGGGTCTGGCACTCGTAGGAGAAGGCCTGCATACATTACCAGAGAGAAGTCTTTTTTTCAGTTTTGGGATTTTGATTAAATACTACGAGGTGTAAAAAAAAAAAACAATTTGCACAGATGAATTTTTCAAAATAAGATCTATAAAATATGTTTAGAAAATATACTTTAAATGTGCAACTAATATAAAGTTTGTTTTTGATTGGGGAAAAATAGAAAATTCTCAAAAAAATTCTCAGAAAATTCTCAAATAGAAAATTTTCAAGTTTAATCTCAGTGATTACACCTTGATTGTTATGAATGGCATTATTGGCAATTTAAATCAGTTGATTCACTAATTGACAATTATGTTGTGTTAAAAATATTCCTTTAAGGTACAAAATTCCCCTGAAAATATATTTCTGGTGGGCATTGTCCTAGAAACAATACTAAAAAAAGTTCAGTCTTTGACAAGACCATAAAAGATGAAGTTTAACAAGTAACTATGTCTTTTTGTGAAGAAAACAGCGGTGTGGAGCAGTTGTTTCGTGTAAGGGACTGGGAGCTGCGTGGACGTGTGGTTCTGCAGGGTTTGGACCGATGGCCTTTACAACACTGTTTAGAGTTGCTGCAATTCTGTCTCAGTGACCAGGACACCCAGGATCCTCTCCGAGAGCAGCTTCAGCAGAGGAAGCAGGAGCTGGACATGTACCAGCGGGTCAGTCTGACACAGCGATTCTGTACTGAAACCATGCTTATTTACTCTTGTGGCAGGAATTCTCCAAAAAGGAATTCTCGGTTTTGCAGTTTGCTTATATTTTAGGTGTTAATAGGTTGCCATTACTAAAGAAAATCTTTGACGCTTTGATGTGCATAAGCATGTCAGCAAGAAAAAACTGTTATACCATGTCATCATCTGTCTGCGTTTATAAGCTCCAGACAGAAGCTTAAATTACTGATTTATTTTCAGGTTGCAATCAGTGCAAGTTCATGCACACAACTGTAATGGTCATATTTTAGAAGTTGGCTGATGACATCGTTTTGTTGTTTAGATGCTGAGTTTGGAGCTACCGTTGCAATGTGAGACGTGGCAGGAGTTGAGGGAGAAGTCTACAAACAATCCTGAATCTGTCTTCAGTTTAATGCTGGAGGCCAGGGTGAGATTATTGTACCATTCAAATAAAACAGTCTTTGATTTGGGCATAACTCAAAACTACGAATGAGATACCTGGTTGCATGCTTACATTGTAGTATAGTATATTGACTCAACTGTATCAGCAAAACGTGGACATTAATTAGCCTTTCCACAGTTTTGTGTTTCTGGCTTCAAGATTGGTGCTTGCAGAGTAAACCTTTTTCAGATAACAACAATTGGCCAATCCTAACAAGTATATGTTTGGGTATCTTTGTTCGAATTAAATATTTTGAAATGTTTGAACTGCTGAAAATCCCAAATCCCCCTACTGTGACAAAGACCCAGGACTATATTCACTTTTTGAGTTGGCTTCAGGCCATAATATTAACTAATTGATGTCATTCTATGTGTGTTTTTGTTCCGACTGCATTTTTGTTCTCTTTGTGAATACTTCTCGAATCTGGTCAATGAATTCAACAAATGGAGCATAAATACAGAGCCCCCCTAGTCCCACTTTGGCAAAAAAAAAAAAAATATATATATATATAATAATTATAAAACGAGTTACTATCTTGAGGCCACGAGATGGTTATAATTAATTTTTTTGCCAAAGTGGGACTAGGGGGGCTCCGTACATAAAAGTGGTTATGAAATTTTATATCTAGCTTTGGTGACCCTGCTGACCAAAATGCTTTCCAGGATATAAAACAGAGGAGATTAGAGTGAATTTGGTTAAAATCAAGTAATTTTGTGTTAGATTTCAGTAACCTGTTATGCTTACTGGTCAGATACAATGTCCCTGCTCTATATATGCAACTCTTTACATCAAATCAAAAGTGTTATTTAGAAAATAGCATGCTAATAAAATAGGTACAGACCCAGAGCGGAACTAACTTGTACCCTGTGCAGTGACATAATTTCTGATTCTTGTAAAAAAAATGCCTATAATGTGAATGATCAATTTGTTTTCTCAGGAGTTTGAGTTGTGTGGCCAGTGGGTGCTGCTGTATTCAGTTTCTGATCAGTCTCGAATGCAGCTACAGACCGAACACCTGCTATTCCTCCTAGAACAGAATTACACAGAAGATGCTTTTCAGGTATGATTCAAATCAGAAACATATGAATAAACTATATCTGTATTAAGTTGAAAAAATGTGTCAAAACTGTTTTTACTCTGTCAGTGACTTGGACCCACCATTCAAACCACCCACATTGAATTTGAATTTGGGGTCTATTTGCTTTTTTAATGTTTTCAAAGGCAGTCTCTTATGCACATCAAGGCTGCATTTATTTGATCAAAAATACAGTAAAACAAGAATATATTAAATGTATTATTACTGGAACTGTTTTCTATTTTAATATATTTTTAAAATGCAATTTATTCATGTGATGGCAAAGCTGAATTTACAGTGTTATATGATTTGGTCCTCAATAAACATTTCTTATTATCAGTGTTTAAACAATTTTTGTTGAAACTGTGATGCTTTTTTTGGATTCTTTGACAAATAGAACGTCTAAAAGAACTGCATCTCTCTGAAATGGAAATATTTTGTTACATTATAGTCACTTTAGATTTCTTAAAAAAAATTAAAAAAAACGTACTGACACAAACTTTTGAACGGTAGTGTATATTCCATATGAATAGGTATGAAATTGTCTGTGAAGTTGAATGCAATTTGACTCTGTGATTTGCTTTGTAAAGCTTTATCCAAACAAAATAGATTGTGAAAAAAAGACTCTCTGTACCCAGCTTTTGGAAGCTCTTTCTGATTCGATGGGTTTGGAAGTCAGTGAGCGAGCCCTCGATCGAAGACCTGGATTGGCTGCCTGTCATTTCCTGTCAGATTACCTCACCCTACACTTCCAGAGTCAGATGACCCTTGCTCGTAGACGCCACATCCATGCCCTGCACCTTGGCTCAAAGGTAACAATATTTGACCTAATCAAATAAGATTTAGTTTCCAAAAGAAATACTCTCGACGCAATAACACGTACCTGTCGCAGGTTCTGCTGACTCTGCCGCAAGCATCTCGTCAGGATTATTTTTCCCTGCTGTCTGATCCGCTTCTCATGCTGGAGCAGCTACTGATGAATCTGAAGGTAGACTGGGCCACCATTGCCATCAGCACTCTACGGAGCCTTCTTCCGGCTCAGGACGCTGGCATCACAAACGAACACATTGACACCCTACTGGCAGATTATGCCAGGAAGGCTCTTGATTTTCCTTATGCACCCAGAGAGTGGTCGCGTTCTGGTGAGTTGGAGCAATGGATCTATATTTCTAGCTGAAAACAAACATTTATGTCCATTCTTTGTGTTACTTGAGATTTGAGATCATTATATGATGCATTGCACCTCTGTTTTCACTAATCTATTTCTCTCCCTGTCTTCTTTTGTCTCAGACTCTGTCATTAGTCTACAGGATGCATTTCTGCAGTGCCCAGCCCAGGAGAGCTGCCCATCTTCTCCAAGCCACACCCCTCCTTCATCAACAGGTATAAGCCACACCTCTTTGATTGACCACACCTTTTTTTTTAGCCACACCCCGTTTAGCATGTAACAGCACTGAGCTTTTAATTACTGGTAATAGTAAAATAGTTCAGTATGTGGCATTAAAGGCTGGAACACATACACAACATTTAAAATTGGGACAGATTGTAGGCACCATTTTAGACTGGGAACCCCAACCACCCCCTCTCCCACCCCTTTAACAACTGAGCATCACACTAACAAACGTTCAAGTCGTTTTTAAGTGCTTGAAAACACTACATGATTTTTGCCCCGATTTACAATCTGGAGAAGTCGATGCTAACTGTGTGTGTTCTAAAATCGGCTCAAATTATCACAAAATATCAAAATAACACATTTGATATCCTCCGACTGGATGGAATATAGAATCTTCTGCTGAACACACAAGAAGATATTTTGAAGAATGTCAGAAAAACCAATGAAACCCAAAATGAACCAATGAAACATGAAAACCAAAAAGTTGGTCAACCCCATTGACTTCCATAGTAGAGAAGAAAATACAATGTAAGTCAATAGGGCCCATCAAGTGTTTGGTCAACATTCTTCAAAATATAATCTTTTGTGTTCAGCAGAGGAAAGAAATTCATAAAGGTTTGAAACAGAATACGATGACAGAATTTTTGTTTTAAAGTGAACTATTCCTTTAAGCGGCCGTTCACACAGAAAGCACATTTATAAGAATATTTACTCCATAATATTCTTGCTAATTACTGGCTCAGTACCCTGAAGATGCTTATTGTTATCATTATTCTATGATGACCCCATAGTTTAGTTTTGAAGTCATGTTTGCTCACATTTATTTTTCAGGCAGCACACCCATACACACACCGTCCAGTGAGAGGCGTCCCAGTGAGAAGAGGATCCGGCAGCTGACCACACCTTTCACCCCTCCGGAGAAAACGCCTGACCGCAAGGACTGGATCCCAGACCACAAACAGCACATCTGTATGGTCTGCCAGAGGGAGAGATTCACCATGGTGAGAGAGACAGTGTGAGATGGGTTGTGACTAAGGTTCCTGCTGTGATTTCTTGTTCTGTTAGTTAGACATCTCTATAAGAATTTGAGTCTTAACGCAAACCTCATCCTGTGTCAGTTTAACAGACGGCACCACTGCAGACGCTGTGGCAGGCTGGTGTGTCATTCCTGCTCCAGCAGGAAGATGGCTATAGAGGGCTCTGAAGAGCCCGTCAGAGTCTGCGACCAATGCTACAACTTCTTCCACGCGGAGTAAGACAGATGCACACATGCCTATAGCACATTTCACAAGTGCCCAAGGGCTACAGAACTTGTAGATGTTAATAGGGTTGACAAATGAAAACCGATTATTCAAGACTAGGACAATTCCCAATTGCATGACTCAATGAGCTTGTTAGTGAATCAAACATACATTTTACAATTTATTTAAACCAGTGTAGTTACTGTCTGGTTGTGCATATGACAATGTGTATTTAGGAATGTGTATTCCAATTATACAATTGCATTTATGTCACCTTTTAAACGGACTGAAAAGTCATTATAAAGTCAGTGGAAACAAGAATTGTTTTAAATGTATTATCTAAATGAGCTTATCATTTGACAATAGTTACATTTCTATTTTTTACAAATACATTACAAAATTGTTGGTTATAGTTTATTTCGATGCTCCTCTGTAGACACTCTACCAACTAGAAGTAATTTTGCAACTACATAACTAACTCTCATTAGAGTATAAGCTAGGTTTAAGTGTTGCAAAGTTACGCTAGTAAGTTACACTAGTGTCTGTTGTGGGACCATCAAAAGTGTTAGTAGATATTAACCAGACAGTCTACTAATACTCTAATGAGAGTTAATTGACATGTAGTTGCAAAGTTGTTTATGTTTAAAGTTAAAAGTCACAGTAAATTTCTAATTCAGATATATTCTGTTCTTTTTCTGCTCTTTTGAGCACCAAATCAGCAAATTTAAAAAATTAAAGGAAATCATGAAGACGATTTTTACTGACCTCAATCCTTTTATCTTATGTTGTGTTTATGGCAGCTCAGATGAGGAGCTTGATCAGGGCGAAGGTAACTTGTCACACACACACAAATAATGAGTTTTACATATATTTACTTCTGGTTGAATGGCAAAATGTTGGTGCCTTTATTTAGATGACGATTACAAGATTTTAAACTAAACTTTTCTTTTGGTAGCTGGCAGCCCTGCATCCATTGACGGAGTCCTGAATGGGGTTCTCAGTCTGCCCGAGGTTCCACGAAAGCAGTATCACCTGAGTCCAAACCCAGCAGAGAACCAGCAGCTGAAGAGCGAGTTCTACTATGAACAGGTGCGATTCTCTATTCATACTGGAGCTGAACAATTGGTTGTTTTTTAAGTAATCTTTGTATTTTCATTTACATTTCTTAACAATGGTCAATCTATGTGTTGAAGGCACCCAGCGCATCCCTGTGTGTCGCTATACTGACGTTACACAGTGATCACGCAGCCTGCGGGAAGCAGCTTATTAGCCACTGCCGCTTACTGTCCCGTAAACTGACCAATCCTGAGGTGGATGCGCGCCTGCTGACGGATGTGATGCGCCAGCTGCTGTTTAGTGCCAAACTGATGTTTGTAAACGCAGGATGCACCCAAGAGCCGGCACTCTGCGACAGGTGAGATACTTACACCTTTACTTGTGTAATCCGAATGTAATATCCGTTTTATTTTAAAAGCATAAAGCATAGAATTGATAAAAAAGTCTCTTGCTCAACCAGGCTGCATTTATTTGATCTAAAATACAGGAAAAATTAACTATTTTCTATTTTAATATATTTAAAAAGTATTATTATCATCAACTAGTGCAGTGCCTGTGCAAAATCAGTTTTTGTGTGCGTAGTAATTGTTGGTTTGATATGTTTGAGTGCTGATATTGGTACAATTACACAACAAAAGTTCAGTGACATTTTTATTTGTGCATGGTAGAAAGCAAATACTGGAACTGACATAATGACATACACTAAATATGGAAAATTGAACTACATGGTTGCATAACAATTTATAATGGTGATATTAGGTGACATGTATTTGGGCATCTGTGTAGTACAGGTAGCATTTAGATTAGATTGACATGAGTTATAGACACAATTATAGAGACAATGAAAGGCAGTTAGCGTCTAACCAGAAGTGCAAAAATGCAGAAAAGTGCAATGTTAACAGTAGAGACTGGTAGTGCAGTATAAACGGTATATGACATAGTACCGTGTAGACGGTAGTATAAGGTTAATGATGTGGTATGGTGTAACATTAACAGATTCAGTTAACATCCACAAATGAATAAGCACAATGTTTTAGGAGATACAGCATTCAACATGTGCTAAAGTTTTTTAACTCAACTTTTTCATTGAACAGATTGTCGGCATAATAGCCAGTATTTTTAGCATTGAGATTAGGCTATGTTTGTCTTGTTTATTGCTACTATACAGTTAACAACTGATAAAACAACTTTAAGCACAACAAAGGAAAACACACAAACAGCAAACTGCTAACTTGATTGTTTCAATGATGAAAAGTAAGGATGGCTTACACTGGAAAGATGGGGATTTGCCGTCATGATCGAAGCAGCAAACATTTTGTGAATAGGCTACTACAAATGATGGCCGTGAATAAAATATAATATTCAGAAGTAAAAAGGTGTAGCAGACTTGCAGAATGTTTAGCTGACAGTGTGTTTATGTCAGAAAGTTTATTTTTAAACCACAACCTTCTAAATATCTTCAAAGTGTGCTTCTTTTACTGATATATTTAACAATATCTTTTGCATTTCTAATCCAATCAGCGTCAGTCTTGGCACTGTACTTACTCGTGCCCGTAGCAAGACACCCGTCAAGTTTAAAATCCATCGGACTAACAGTTCGAGAGATATGCGAATAAAAGTCACACAGACAGGCAGATGTTCCTGTAATTTATAGATAGATAGATAGATAGATAGATAGATAGATAGATAGATAGATAGATAGATAGATAGATAGATAGATAGATAGATAGATAGATAGATAGATAGATAGATAGATAGATAGATAGATAGATAGATAGATAGATAGATAGATGTTGAAAACATCATTTTAATTTTTTTGTGGAAAGAAACGATCATACTTTTTTTCAGGATTTCATTAATGAATGGGAAGTTGAAATGAACAGCAGAACAGCACTCTTAATACTCCATTTTTTTCTATCCGTTTAATGCATCCTTATTTTGTATGAATTTTGTTTTAACTTTCACTGACCTTAAACTTTTGAATGGTTATGTAACTTTATTTCACTTAACTTTAATTCATTCTTCTCTCTTCATTCATAGCTACATCAGTAAGGTGGATGTGTTGAAAATCCTCGTCAGTGCAAACTACAAATACATTCCATCTCTGGACGATATTCAGGAAACGGCTGCAGTGATGCGTCTGCGCAACCAGCTTCTAGAGGCCGAGTACTACCAGCTGGCTGTGGAGGTGAGACTATTCACTCAAGATTCAAAGTAATAGTTCAATCAATGACAAACTCACACTCATGATTTTTTTTTGCCTCATTGGAACACAAAAACAGAATTTTTCATGCCTGTCTTTTCCAACAAGTGAAAGTACTAATATCTAGTCACATGTCTTGATTTTGGGTTCAGCTGTTTTTCTGCAATCTGTTTTTGTTTATAATTGTCAGGTGTCGACTAAGAGTGGACTGGACCCGAACGGAGTTTGGCAGGCGTGGGGTATGGCGTCTTTGAAGGCTGGAAATCTGAGCGGGGCCAGAGAGAAGTTTGCCCGTTGTCTCAAACCACCAGTAGATCGGAACCAGCTCAACAATGGAGTGAGACTTTTGCAGGAGATCGTTCAGCACCTGGAGTCCACTGTCAAACCTACTCTAAGCACGGTAATGCTACACCCTGACCCTTAAGACTGGATGGGCATCTTGACTTTCCTTACAGGATGTTTCTAAACACTTTCTTGTGTGTTTTTGTTTGATATAGGTGGTGGATGAGGACATCTTGGCTTCTTTACGCGAATTGGAAGAGGCTCTCTCTGATTCTGCTCCTCTAGATGGCGCAGAGAGCAAAGTACAGCGGTCTGGATACTATCAGGAGTGTTTGTTTTACCTGCTCACTTATGGAACACACTTGAGCCTCATCAGCTTTTACCTGCGCCACGACTGCCTGAGAGATGCACTTACCCACATAAACAACAAGGTTCTGGAAAGTTACAGAGCACTTTACACAATTGTACATTTATTATTAGTACGATTTTTTTTTTTCAGCAGGGATGCATTCATTTGAAAAAGTTTGTCAATAAAGACATTTATTATAACAGATTTGAAAATTCTCTATCAAATAATTTAAAAAAAAGTAAGCATCACACACATTTTCCACAGAATTATAAATATAAAAACTTTTTTCAATATTGATTATAATAAGAAATGTTTTTTTTAGCACCAAATCAGCCTATTATAATGATTTCTGAAGGATCACTTTTTGCGAAGAAAAATTCACTTTTTTTTCTTTTTTTTTATGTTTCCAAATGAACCAAATCCTTTTTACAGGTACTAAATATGACAGAGAAACATGTACGTTTATGTTTATAAAGTTTCTCTCTCTCTCTCTGTCGCTGTCTGTCTGTTTCTAGAAGTGTACAGAGGATGTGTTTCTGGAGGGCATCTTTCAGCCCTGTCTTGAACGTGGGCGGTTGGGGACTTTGCAGGGTCTATTAGAAACTCTGGACCCCACACTGGAGACCTGGGGCTGTTACCTGCTTTCAGCCTGTCAGTCGCTGCAGCGCAGGGGGCACTACCACTCTCTGTACCAACTCCAACAGTTCATGATGGTACCAACACACACATGCACACATTCTCTCTCTCTCTCTCTGTAAAGTCTGCATCAGCATGCTGTTATTAAATGTCTTCTTCTGTCTCTTTGTAGGATCACGTTCGTGCCGCTATGACGTGCATTCGCTTCTTTTCTCACGGTGCTCAGTCCTACCTGCAGCTGGGAGAACAGCAGCGCTGGCTGATCCGAGCCAAAGAGCACCTGAGAACTTACCTACAGGAACAACAGAGCCGGAGGAAATCACACAGCTCCTCTTTCAGGAAGAAAATGAGCTCCACTGATGTCTCAAGGTAATAAAAGGGGGGAAATTAAACACTGTGCTATACTATACACAGTAATATAATTAAATACTATTTATTTTCATTATATATAGTAACATGCATGTTATTAAAAATATTGTATAGTCAGATACTGATGTTCCTCATTATTTTGGCTGTGGTAACAGAACATGTATGTTGCAGACACGTACACACAATCGAGCTGCAGTTGGAAGTGACACGCTTCTTACACCGCTGTGAAAGTTCACCATCCAAGACAGCTGTAGGCCCCGCCCCCACAGGGAACAGTGGCCCACCCACTCTGTTTGGAAACAGCCCCATGAAGGTGGACGTGGCCTTCAAGGTGAGCTAGGAAAATATGCTCTTCTGTACACACAGTTTAGTCCTTTTGTTGCATCCCCTTCCATATCTCTGTTCCTAATGGTGCGGTTACATAAGTGAAATTTCAGAAAAAATTCAGAAAAAAGGCAAGAAAGGTGCATTGTCTAATATCAGTAGTGTAGTGATGTATGAATCCTGCTCAGATAATTCTTTCTGCTTGTCAACACGACAAATCCTTGTGACCAAATGGAACCCATTGTGAAATCCTATTGAAATGACTGGATTTCACCCATGAAAATTCTCAGAACAACAGTAAATGTTCAGCGGTAAAGCACACCTTAATTTTGTAGGTTGAATTTGAGAGTTCTTGACATCTTAATTTATAAGGTAGAATCATTCTGAGTGGAAAGCATTAATGGTGCATATATATCTATTCAAATGAAAATAGGTGAAAAAGATTCAATAAGCTTATTAAAATAAATCAATATTTTTTTGTTCTTTTCTGGTCTGTATTGTGTGTGTATATTCTGTTTGTAAGTGTTTAACTGTAAGTATTTCCCTGAATGGATGTCATACATTTCAGTTTGAGATGATTGCTTGTTTTGAATCTTGAATCAAGACTAAGAGTGTGTGCGTAATGCATTTTGTAGGGAAAGAGATACTGTATGTAACAGCATTAACTTTACAGAATGTTGAACTAGAAGCAGTGTTATATACATTAACTGGAGAATTATCCTATTTCCTAACATATAAAATGCACATCATGCTTAAAATGCTGTATTTTGTATTGGCATGATTTTACTGATTTGGCTGAGATATAATGTTTCAGATAATCAGATTCCAAAACGTCATGTTTTTGCTGTTTACACGCATGTAAAAAGATACAGTCTGTGCCAAATATCTATACTACCTTTTAAAAGTTTTTGGTCGGTTAGATTTTTTTGATTTTTAGATTTCTTTTGTGTTAAATATTTGACATTTTAAAATTCCTGTGATGCAAATCTGAATTTTCAGCATCATTACCTCCAGTCTTCAGTGACCATATCATTCCGATTTGATGCTCAAGAGACATTTCTTAATAATATTAGATGTTGAATACAGGATTCTTTGCTGAATTTAAAGTTCACAGCATTTATTGAGATTTTTGAACACCGTAAAAGTCTGAATTAGTCAATGAAAAGTATTAGTTTCCTTCAGAAAAAAAATCTTACTGACCGCAAACGTTTGAAGTGGTGTACATACAATAATCGAAACTGGTTGGCATAAATCTAACAGACTGTAGATGAAATCGGATTGAAAAAAAACTACAGTATAATCAAATCTGGCTGCATTTCACACAGGTGATGCTGGGAGGCAAGAACATTGAGGAAGGTTTTGGCATCGCATATCGAGTAATACAGGTAAGCAGTTATGACACCTCTGCTGGTTTGAGTCCTTTTCTCATTCACATCTGACTGAGAAAAGGACACATCCTTCTTGTTTTCTTTCACGTGGTGCAGGACTTCCAGCTGGAAGCACTGGCAGTGTACATTAGGGTCGGTCAGCGCCTGGTCCGGCAGCGCCAGTACCCGTCTGTGCGGCAGCTGCTGAAGTGTGTAGGGGAGTCTGGAACGGCCTCTAAACACGACTGTGACGCCATTGTGCTCAGCTGTGTCTCTGTGGCTGATAAGAGTCCTGCAGATGTGAGTCCCCAACCTAACGATCTCGTTCTACTCAGATCGTGTTACTGCTTTGTATATATTTGCATATATCATTTTTAGGGCTGTCAAACGATTAATCGTGATTAATCGCATCCAAAATAAAAGTTTGTGTTTACATAATAAATGTGGGTGCACTGTGTATATTTATTTTATATATATAAATACACACACATGCTTGTATATATTTAAGAAAAAATATTATTTATATATAAAATATTTATAGAAAATATAAATGATATATAAATCTATTTACAGTACATACATGAAAATATTTCTTAAATATATATACAAGCATGTGTGTATTTTTATATATATATAAAATAAATACACACAGTGCACCCACATATATTATGTAAACACAAACTTTTATTTTGGATTCGATTAATCGTTTGACAGCCCTAATGATTTTATAAAAAAAAAAAAATATGAAATATGAAAGTATTAGCCTATATAATTTAGTGATTTATTTTTGGCTCAGGCTAAAGAACTAGAGACCCTGATTCTGGAGTGTAAGAGTTCAGAAAACAAGGTTAGGTTTCTCTTTTTCTCAGTCTATATTTGTTTTTCTTTCACACACTTCCTTACTCTCTTTCACATTCTTTTCTTTCTCTCTCTCTGTAGATAAAGGCATATCTCCAGTGCAGTAAGCTGCGGGCAGCGTATCTCCAGGCCGTGAAGCTGGAGCTTGTAAAGGCGACTCCTTTAGTACAGGATGTGATGCGGGCCGCTGAAAGCTCAGGTGACTCTGTCATGCACAACATCTGCCGCCAATGGCTTTCGGAGCATCAGGAACAATCATCACGGCAACGACACGGCAACAACTGATAACCACTACCAATCCCCATTGTGAACAAGTTATCCGGCTTTGCTTTGATTGGTTAGTGAAATAATAATTTTGCCAGGAAATGAAACACCACTGTGCCACTTTTGCTGGTCTCTATTAGAAAGAAAATCCCAGGTTATCTTTCACAGGGCCAGAGATAAACTTTTAGAGATAAAACGACATTCACATCTGTTTACTACTTCAATATTTGACTGGGCTTATTCTCCTACCTCAGGACAAGTTTTTTTCTTTTCTTTCAAGTCAAAAAGACTAATCACTGTGTGTAAATATCATCCTGATGGAACAAGGTCATGTGGTACTGAAATTACTCTGCATCTGGCATGAAATTAATTCTTATTTGAGTTCATGGCAAGTTTACAATGGCTTCTCTATAAATTTAGGTCTAAAAACAAAAGGCTGTTTATTCTGGTCCTCACTGAGAGATTGTCCTCAGATGTGGTTGAACTACAAAAACACATTATTAAAAGGGAAGGTGATTCACAGACATTATGATGTGTGAGCTCTGTGAACAAACATAAGCAGTATCTTTGATATTGCAGTTGCAATGGGAAAATAAGGGAGTCTGGGTATAACATGGCAATTTGAAATATACTGTATCAGTAAAACATTGCTTACGTGTTTGTCTATAATACAAATTACCCTACAATTCACACCCATAAATAATGTGCACTCTTTATGAATGTGAGAGAGTGTGTGTATATACTGTATGTTAATCAGATTAAACTATCACTGACCCTCCTGTAATTTGTTATATAATGTCTATAAATGTTATTATTATAATATGTTACTCAAGTCTACCCAAAAATGAAAAACATCATCATTCACTTCATGTCATTCCGAACCTATGACCATGACTATATGTATTTTGAAGAAAACTAGCAACTAAAAAACACTGGAGCTCATTGACTTCAATTTTATGGACAAATAAAACACTGACATTTCTCAAAATATCATATATTTTTATATTCCACAAAAGAAAGGATGCGTCATACAGGTTTGGAATGAAACGAGGGTGAGTGAATCATGACAGATTTCCTTTTTTGGTGAACTATCCTTTTAAAGGTACTATGTCTGTTTTTTTCTTTAGAGAATAGAAAAAAAATCGGAGCAAATTTGGTTTACAGAACCTATGCGCATATTAAAATGAATAAAACTGTTACAGAGATGTTGCCAAAGAGACAGATGTACTTCTGTCTGAATCCAATTAGAGTGACAAAGAATGTCTCCTGAAGAGGGATAGTAATTTAAAATGAGTTAATAAATATGCATTTAGTTTTATAATAAAATAAACAATACTGAATTTTCTGGTTTCACAGACAGGGCTTAGATTTATTAATGTGCCTTAGGAAAAAAAACATTACTGGTGTGCATCTTGAGACAAAACAATGGCATTGACATATTTTAAGATATGCCAGTGCAAGTTGCTTTCGGTTAAAACAACTCATGCATTTTAGTCTGAGACTAGGCTTAAGCCTTGTCTGTGAAACAGAGATGAAATACTAAATCTCAGTTATTTATTTTGAGTTAATTTTTTAAATACTTGTTTTAATAATGAACCTCTTGATCATAGTATCAAATGTCTGCTTACATTAGTTGTATCTTTTAGTAAATAAAAAAAGGAAAATACAAAAATGACACATTTTTCACTGTATATATTTAAATATTTGTCTCTGGTCGTGATTGTTCCACAGTAGTTAAAAGCACATCTGTATAAAAGAATTCAGTATGCAGCTTCATGTGAGAATACTGAGATGGTGATTAAAGCAGCATTCAAAATACAAACGGTGGAATCAAAATTCTGCACATATTTGTTCTAGAGTAGAAAAAAACTCATACTTGCTTGTCACAAGGGCATGATAGAAATTCGGCAAAAAAAGCATAAGATGGATTGTGCTATTGAAAGCATAGATTAGAGAAAATGTACACACGTGTTTTAAACAAAACCAAGCAAAACATAAGAAGTGATCACTGAAAATATCTAAGAATAAAGGATGGAAGAGAAATTAAGCGGGTCGAATGAACGTTTCAGTCCCACTCTATGCCTAACAATTCACAGCTTACATCCCACAGTTTCCGAGCCGTCTCCTCACTCCTTCCCTGAGGGGCCACAAAAGCTGGGACACAATCACTGTGTGGAAGACACAAGGAGAGGGAGAGAAAAAGAGAGAGGTTTAATAAAATGCCAATACCAAATGAACTGCATGATTTAAAACTGCAATTTTTGTTTAGTAAATATTAACTTAAATATTAGTCTGTAATATTAAACATAAAAGGCTATTATATGACTTCAGATGAGTTGGAATATAGTGAATTCCTTAAAAAGGATAATTCACCCAAAAATGAAAATTCTGTCATTCACTCACTCTCGTGTCATTCCAATCCTGTATGATTTTCCATAGAAAACAAAAAAATAATACTTTGAGAACAAAAAGTCTTCAAAATATATAGGCCTAGTTTTTTTGTGTTCCATAGAACAGTGTTTCCCAACCCTGTTCCTGGCGGCACACCAACACTGCGTGTTTTCTTTGTCTCCCTAATCAAACACACCCGATTCAACCCATCAGCTCATTAACCCACCTGATTATGAGCTGATGGGTTGAATCAGGTGTGTTTGATAAGGGAGACAAAGAATACACACAGTGTTGGTGTGCCGCCAAGAATCAGGGTTGGGAAACACTGCCATAGAAGACACACAGGTTTGGGAATAATGATAAATTATTAAAGGTGAACAATCCCTTTAACAATGTTCAGGATATCTTGAAAAATGAACCTCCAGCATCAAGCAACCGTTCTGAAGTGTGCTGTACCTGAAATGTTTGCCTGAGATTGACTGGAGCTCCTCAGCGACGGCACAATAGACGGACGTTTGAGCTCCTTCCTTCGGGGTCTTGAGGAACATGGAGAAGACAGCAAACAGCAGCGACATTACAGTAGAATGACGCACCAGCTCTGACCTCACCGTCCCCGGGTGCAGAGAGTTCACGGTCACATTTGACCCTGATAAAATACAAGTCAAACTGAGATTCCTATTTCTTTTTTCATCTTAGATCCTTGTTTGACTTTGATCCACAACAGCACTCACCGTGGAGTCTGCGCGCTAGCTCGCGTGTGAAAAGCACGTTAGCCAGCTTGCTCTGGCAGTAGGCAAGCCCGCTGTTGTAGCTGCCCTGACTGTGCAGGTCGTGGAAACGAATCCAGCCGAAATTATGTGCCAGGGAAGAAACAACCACGATTCGTGAAGGCGCGCTACGCTTCAGCAGACCAATGAGGAGATATGTCAGCAGGAAGTGACCTGAATGAAGAGGTGCAGGCGTGAGTACCCTCACTAAACCCACCGTATAATTTAGGGGTCTGGTAAAACTCAATGGTCTCAGGTGAGGCAAGAGAGACAGGCCTCCCGTTGTAATTTGACCTGCTAGTGTCGCTGTTGGACAATGTTCCTTTTTTTAAAAATGAGTGAATCATACGCTTTTTAATGTCACATTTTGTAATATTTATAAGTATTCACACTCACCCAGATGATTGACCCCAATCTGCATCTCAAAGCCGTCGGCCGTTTTCATATAAGGACACATCATGACGCCAGCATTATTGATGAGGATGTGCAGATGATTTACCTCTAAATTAAGAGACAAAACATATTAACTGTAAACTTAAATATCTGGGGCTTGTGTTGATACACTGTATTAATTTGCTTTGAAGTGAAGGTGGTTGAACTGCATCAGACATGATAAGGCAGTACCTCGCAGGAATCTCTGAGCGAAGGCTCGGATGGAGCAGGTGTCGGCCAGGTCCAGTTCCCTCACCTCCACTTTAGCTCCACCCACTCGTGTACGGATTTCTGTCGCCGCCTCTTCACCTTTCTCCACATCACGACATGCCAGAATCACACGTGCACCTGTTGGCAAACAGGACTGAACTGTAACTTCAGCTGTACAGTAAGCCTGTTTATTTAAACTGAATTAATTAAATTATTTCATAAAATATAAGGTATTTTTTATAAATGTGTTTGGGAGTTGGAAAGACCTCGGAAAGCTAAATCCAAAGCTGTTTCCTTCCCAATTCCTGAGTTTGCTCCTGTGATCAAGGCAACTTTTCCATCTAACCGTGCGGTGGATCGACACATTCCTCCTGCTGCATATTTCCTGCACAAACATGGAAAGTTAATATAAATAAATTTATTTATCTATTTAAATCAATTATTTATCCTGTCTTGTATCAACATTTTAGGCTTGTGGTGGTGTGATGGATATTTTTCTTGGCACAATTTGGGCCATTAGTACCAATTGAACATTGTTTAAATGCCACGACTTGTATTGTTGCTGACCATGTCCATCCCCTTTATGACCACATTTTATCTTCTGATGGCTACTTCTAGCAGGATAACATCCCATCACAAAGCTCAAATCATCTCAAACTGGTTTCTTGAACATGACAATGAGTTCAAAAACTCAAATGGGCTCCACGGTCACCAGATCCACTAGAGCTCATTTGGGATGTGGTGGAATGAGAGAAAAGCATCATGAATGTGAAGCCAACAAATCAGCAGCCACTGCGCGATGCCATCATGTCAATATGGACCAACATCTCTGAGGAATGTTAACAGCACCTTGTTGAATCTACTCCACAAAGAATTAAGGCAGTTTTAATGGCAAAAGGGGGAGTCGAATCTGGTTATAGCAAGGTGTGACAAATACAGTAGCCGGTTGAGTGTTTATGTGTGCGTTATGTCTGATAACAGCTATCCACACATAATAAGGGAAAATCTTGATTCATAATTGGAAATGGATCTTTTAATTTATTATGTTTTTCCCCCCTCAAAATACCCCAAAATGTAAATATCAGAATATCATAAAACTTTCCTATTGTTAACTATTGCCTGAAGTTAATGAGAGCTGCTAAATCAAATTTTTTTTTTTAATTATATAGATTGCACAAAAGCTATTTCTAGCCTATTACTTGTATAATAATATAAATTATATAAGAATTATAATATAAATTATATATTACATATAAGAGGCAGTCCTAAACTATGATGATATGCATTTATCCGTCCCAACAATGAAGCAGCGCGGTTACGTAAAGGGGCGGGGCGATCCGCCCATGCTATCATTCTATTGGTTGGTTTCCAGAGCAGAACATGTCAAGAGGAGGCGGGTCCACCAAGAGGCAACCTGAACCTTCATCAACAGTGCTGATTGCTGCGCTCATTTTATAATCGATTACTAAAATCGTGTAATGTACAATGTGTTAGCCACTATTAAAAGGTCGAATTCGGTTAGATGAACAGTTGTGATGTGACTATTTAATATAATTTTAAGACTGGACTATCTTACACTGGGCTCTACGCTTCAGTGGCTACAATGCTTTCTTTACATTCATAGGCTGTTTCTGTCTTAGTCTCCCACATCATGTTCTCATCCCTTATGAACATTGTGCTGTTGTTTTACAGAAAGAATGAATGTTTCCATGCATAGTCCTTTTATAATAAATAAGACTGAATAGCATTATCAAATCTTTCTCTCCAAAAAAAAAAAAGAAAAAAAAGAAAAAAAATAGAGAGGCTTACCTGATTCGAGGGGACAGCAGCCTTAAAATCAACGCTACCAGCCCTAAACCAGCCGCAAAAACTACGAGCATAAGCATCATGACACTGTGTGCTTTAACTCGCGTCTGTCTCTGTCGGTGTGAATGTGTTCAGCCTCCCACTCACATCTACAGCTGTGGTCCCAGGGAATGATGGGATTGTAGTTTCCATTGTATGGACAATTTATTCTGAATATTCATTAATGTCTTGCTGTTTTATTTTAAAATTTTATTTTATTTACTTGTACCTCAATTTTTATTACTAGGCTATATAATTATTTGATATACCTCTCTCGCGCGCATGTGTAAGAGAAAGGAATGTGAACACCTGATCTATGCACCTGATTCTTGTTTAATTTGGGTAAAGCCATGGTACACTCTTAATAAGTCGTTTATGCAAGTTTATTACGGATATGTGCGCTTTTTCAGTCTGCTGGTGTTTCGACTGGCCGATTACATTTTCAAAACCAGTTTATTTGTGTTTTATGGAAAATGTAAACTACAGATCCCATAATGCATTTCTGACGCAAGCTGTCTATATGTTTGCCCTGCTGAACTGTTGCACATTTTTGTTTGGTTTTGCAATATAACGCATCTTAAAGTGTAAGTCATACACGTACATATTAGTAAATCAGTGCTTTTTGGGTGTTAAGATTTTTTTTTTTAAATAGCGGCTTGGGTATTTCGCTCCCTTTTTGTTTTCAGGCGAAATCAAAACCACCAATAATCACGAGGTCCGACACGGAAGTATCAGCTCAGCTGCTGTCCCGAGGATCTTGTTATTGCCCGACAAGCCGATTTTGTTCTCTTTTCTTGTTTTCAGTTCACAGCAAATGACAAATTATATGTTATTTTATTACATTCATATTGCTTTCGAAAAGTAAAGTTTATTTTCTTTAGGCTTCGTTAAAATTGCTCGCAATATGTCTTCTGAGGAGTTTGAAAAGCTGCATGAGATGTATAAATCTCTATATGAAGAAGTGAAGTTGATGCCTGAACGGGTGCAGAGGTGCCAGGGAGGTGAATAAAATCTTTATATCTACAACTGAATCATGACTAGAGAGTATTCAGACAGTTTAGTGCAGGACAGAAATTTGGTTTGGGTATTTTGTAAACATACGTTTTTGCTTTTCAGTCTTATTTTACCCAAAATTGTTATTATGGTTATGTCTCAGGAGGCTGGAGATGGAAACAGTAAGATGTCAGTCATCCCCTGATGTCCCCCATTGTCAGTTGTCTGCCTTGTGTTGTTAAGGTGTCTTTCTGGCCTAAACCTGCATCTTTTTCACTCTTCTTGTTTTCCAGAGGAAAGGAAGAGGATTGTCAGGGACTTTGATGAGCGTGTTTCAGAGGCTGAAGAAGTGGTATGTTGCAATGTTAACTTGGATGTCAGTCTTCTAATGTCAATGTCTTCTTGATTGACATTATAGATGAAAGTTTGCCTACGATCTTAAAACTGTGATTAAAGAGTTTCTGTAGTGTTCTTCTACAATTTATAATATTAAATAATAGGCTAGAAATTAATTATTTTTCAGAGTGCAATCTCTATAAAATATCAATCTCAATAAAAAACAAATGACATTTGATTATGGAACTGTCATTAACTTATCAATAATAATGAACCATGGGAAAGTTTTATGATATTTTGATATTTAAAATTTTGGGCATTGTCACTCAGTACTGTTGCATAAAATATAGGAACCCCTATGCAAACCATGCAAAGTTTATTAGAAATTTAGAATGGTGTCAGCAGATAGGGTGGAAGTTGGAAGCTCATTCCACTAGAGAGGGTCGTCATGAAAGCTTTGTTTTGCGTTGCTCAGTTTGTTTGAAACAGTTTGAGACACCAGGTGGCAGTAGTGCTTCAGACAACCAGTGACTATCTGCCTTAGTTAGACCATACAAACCAGTGTTACGTGTTCTGAATCAATTACATAATGTGTTGACAAGCTTATATTGTTGGTACTATTGCTTTTAACACATTAATATTATTTACTGCTGTAGTAATAACAATACACAGTACACTAGCTTATTAACCACCCAATACTTAACTGTTGAAGTTTGGGGTCAGTAAGATTTTTTTTTTTTAAAGAAATGTATACTTTTATTCATCAAGGTCACTTTAAACAGATTGGTAACACTTTATTTGAAGGGGTGTGCATAAGACTGACATGACACTGCCATAAACATGACATAACACCTGTCATGAACATGAAGAAGTATTTATGAATGTTTATGACTGTTGTCATTAAGTGTCATTCGGTAAATTATGACACTTTAAATGCAAAGTGGACATTGTTTAAAATGTCTTTGTTATGACAACTTGACATTAACAAAGACAAAAAATGTCTTTGTTATGACAACTTGACATTAACCAAGACAAAAATGTCTTGGTTATGACAACTTGACATTAACCAAGAAATCATAGCCTGTCACAAATATGTCATAACAGGTCTAATTATCAAACTTAAAGAAGTTATTTAGCTTTGTGTTAACATTACATTACCCTGTCCCTGTCAAATGTTATGGTTGGTTTTAACTTTGGTTGTCATGACACCATTATAACTGTGACATGAATATTTTACTTGTCCTCAAGTAAAGTGGAAGATATTGTACTAGTTATAAAGATGTCATTAAGGGTTATTACACTAAATGCTTTAACAACAGTGTCAATATTTCCCCTTACCTCAAGTAAAGTGGAACATGTTGGACTAGTTATGATTTATTGGTTAATGTCAAGTTGTTATAACAAAGGCATTTCTGTCTTTGTTAATGTCAAGTTGTCATAATCAAGACATTTTTGTCTTGGTTAATGTCAAGTTGTCATTACAAAGACATTTTAAACAATGTCAACTTTGCATTAAAAGTGTCATAATTTACCGAATGACACTTAATGACAACAATCATAAACATTCATAAAGACTCCTTCATGTTCATGACAGGTGTTCTGTCATGTTTTATAACAGTGTCATGACAGTCTTATGCACACCCCTTCAAATAAAGTGTTACCAAAAGATTAAAGTGACAGTAAAGACATTTCTAATGTTACAAAGTATTTCTATTTCAATGAAATGTTGTTCTTTCTGTTCATCAAATAATCCTGCTTTTGTTTTGTTTGCTGTTTTCAACATTGATAGTAATAATAGATGTTTCTTGAGCACCAAATTGTCATATTAGAATGATTTCTAAAAAGATCAGCTTTGCCATTACATGAATAAATTACACTTTAACATATATGAAAATAGAAGTTATTTTTATGTTAAATTAATTATTTTAAATTGTAGAAATTATTTCACAATCAGTGTTTTTACTGTATTTTTCATCAAATGAAATGCAGCCTTGGTGAGCATGAGGCGTAGTCTCAAATAAAACAAAAAATCTTACCGACACCAAACTTTTGAATGGTAATGTATGTAAATACTCAGTAACATGAACACTAACTAACTGAAAGTGTGATGTCTCTCCTAGCTTCAGGGCATGGAACAGGAGCTGTTTGGTGCTCCATCATCCTTCCGAACCCCCATGTCAACAAAGATTCGACTGTACCGGCGAGATCTGGCCAAACTGCAGAGAGACATACGCCTCTCAGCAACACCAGGGTTTTCAAGTCACCTTGGAGACAGCAGACAAGGGATATATGCGGCACAGAATGACCAGAGTGTAAGTCTTGCCAGTCCTTCATTAGTAAGGAGTAGTTTGCATAATAATGAAGATTCTGTCATCATGAATTACACACATTCACATCGCATATGGATTGGGTTTGGGTTTGGATTAGGAAGGTACTGTTAGCTAATGTTGTTTAAGTTCAAGCTACTCTTCCTTGCTTACATTCAAGTCTTGCTCGAGGGTACAATTGATGATAGAGAATTTCTACATCTCTCCAGTCAGATCTGGTTTTCAACAGGATAGAACTGGTTACAACACATCACCACAAATGTGTAACCCAAGAAATTCATAGAACATAAATATTTTGAACACCAGAGATCTCTATGTTCCCTGTGTGTTTTTTAATGATACCCTTTGCCAGCATTCCACAAGTGTTATGTAAGCTAATGTATAAGACATAGTGTGTTCTTTAACAACAAAAACAAACCGGTTCTCGGTTTGATTCATTTGATTGATTGAGTGAGTGAGGCGAGTCTTAATTATGCATTCAAAATTATTGATTTTATTTATCATGTTATTAAAACAACGCGTCATTCCATACTAACACTAGTTAATAGTATGAAATGCAGGTTAACTCCCTACCACTGTACAAACAAAGATGCCTGTTGCGCTGGAGTGGAATGACATTTTTTTTCTATTGCGCACACAGGAAGTTACCTTGAGCAAGGTCATGCAGTATGTCCCAAGAGTCCTGTTCCTGAACTCTCTAAAACTGAGGAAGTGAAGGTCATTTGAAAGACCTGAAAAGAATAGCATATGGTAGGGATTTATGAGGCACTTTGATTCAGTGAGGGAACAGTTACTGCTCACTTTTTTATCAGTCTTCAGCTTCATACATATTTTCCCCATTCATTTTTTTTCTGGCTTCAGTCGTTCTTAGCCTAGAACCAAACCATCCAGCACTGAGATCAATTACAACATTACAAAATTTAAAAAAGTTAAAAAAGTTAAACTCATCCCATGAATCAAGCAATTAAACCAGTAAGACTTACACTGCCGTTCAAAAGTTTGGGAGGTTTGGGTTTTTAAAGAAGTCTCTTATGCTCACCAAAGCTGCATTTATTTAATAAAAAAAAAAAAACGGTAATATTGTGAAATATTAATTACAATTTAGAATAAATGTTTTCTATTTTAATATATTTTAAAATGAAATTTATTTCTGTGATGCAAAGCTGAATTTTTAGCATCACTACTCTAGTCTTACCGTGTCACATGATCCTTAAAGACATTTAAAGTATTATATAAGATTCTATTTTAAATAAATGAAATAGAACTGTCTATGCATCAGAGAATCCGGGAAAAACTATGAATGTTTTTTGTGCATCAAATTGGCATAGAATGATTTCTGAAGGATCCATGTTGATTATACGGCGTCTTAAAAATGTATTATCTGTATTTGTTGACCAGATCAGTTAAAGAGTTACTAATTGTTATGTTTGTTTTTGCAGACTCATCTTCAGTCCCAGCGTGCTTTGCTCATCCAGGGGACAGAGTCTCTAAATAATGCGTCAAAAAGTATTGAGCGAAGTCAACAGATTGCAGCAGAGACTGACATGATTGGCACAGACATCATTGAGGAGCTTGGAGAACAGAGAGATCAACTGAACCGCACAAGAGACAGAGTGAGCAAGAGATATCTAAACCATTCCCCATTATTTTTACTGTTGAACAAGCCGATTATAAATGACACAAGTCAAATGCCTAGAATGAATTCACTTCTTCTCTCTTTCTCTTCTATTACTACATCTATTATACATCATATTACTACATCAGTTGGTTCACACTGGAGAGAACCTGAGCCGCAGCAGGAAAATCCTGCGCGCAATGTCCAGAAGGTGAGGCTTGCACTCTTACAAAACACATTTTACATCACTAGAATTATTTCCAAATGTCTTTCTAAGAATATACTCAATCGAGCCTCTTCCTTTCCTGTCATTTCAGACTGGTGACGAACAAGCTGCTGCTATCAGTCATTATCATCATGGAGATGGCCATCTTGGGGGCGGTGGTCTACTTGAAGTTCTTTCGCAAGTAGGCAGAGGCACATAAGACTGTATAGAGACTCCACCTCTCCCCTTTCTTCTTCCTGGCGTTCACTGGTGTTTGTCCCGGTGACAAAGTACTGGAAGCTTTCGTGACTGTGAGTGTCACATTGACATGTATATGTGGTTATTTTAAGCGCTAAACTGTATTAGCATAAGTAGTGCTCTGAGGGTAAAAAGAGGATGGTGACCATGGTGCATTGAGACTGGAGGATCAGGACATGTATAAAGAGGAGAGAGGGCCTTACTCCCTCCTTAGCTGTCTTAATCAAGGTGCCAAGGTGATCTAGAAGATGAATGGACAGATGGATGGTGTAAATGAAGCAACCCGTGAAGAGTGGAAAATGTGTGTGTGTGTGTGTGTATATATATATATATATATATATATATATATGCAATCTACATTCTTATATTTATCAATGACTTCACAGGGATAGTACATAAAAAAAAAATTCTGTCATCATTTAATCACCCTCGTGTTATTCCGAACCTTATTTTTGTGTCCCTAAAAAATATGACTGGGGTCCGATTGAGTTTCATTGTATGGACAAAAAAAGGTTGGAACATTCTTCAAAATTTCTTTTGTATTTTAGTGAAGAAAGAAAGTCTTACAGGTTTGAAGAAACTTATGACAGAATTTTTATTTTTGAGAGAACTATACCTCTAACTACTACTGAACTTTTAACTAAGTGATCTGAATTACATTGTGTACAAATGTTAACGTGGCATTAAAGGTAACAGCTCGTGTTTTTCCTCCAATCAATCAAAACAAAGCTGAGTGTACTCCAGGCCAAGGGAATGAGAATGACAGCTATAAACACGTAACTTCCTTCATAAGCTGTGGTTGGTGGAGAAAGGGGTGTGTTTAGCCTTTCAGATATGGGGGTAGACATTACTGTAAACATGACTGAAAATAAGGTGACACGAACACCTGTTAGAGTAGAAAGACCAGTGTCCATGGCTATCAGGTCACCTTGACATACTGACATTTTTCCAGCTGACTGTTGGAAAACAGCAGAGGTATCAGTGGAGATTTGAGGTGTGAGCAGGTCATTCACACTTTTACGTTGTTTATGATCGGCATCTATAATCCCCATCACATTCCTCAATCATAAGCAGATGTTATTATGTGTTGTATAAATGGGGCAGTGCCTGTGAATCAACTGATTATAGCTTCAAACCAATCACAAACCCAAAAAAATTTCTATTTGTATTTGCATTTGGCGGATTACTTTATTAGGGCTATTCATGAAAGTAAACGTCATTGTTAACTTACCACTACTCAGATTTGATTTGAACAGTTATATTGATCAAATTAGTACACCTAACTTAACTTGAATAGCCTTCCAGTTAACTGAGTATTAAATCAAGATTAATCCCTTATCGAAACTCTCATGTTTTGTCATAGAGTGACAAAATTGATTAATAAAAAAAAAAACACTAAAATTAAAAGTCGCGAGTGTGATTATGTTCCAGATACTTTTGTGTTTTAATGTAAATAAAAATTTAGATGAACTATGTTTGATTGCACAGCCTGCTGATCATATTTTTAGGGCCCAAGCCCTGAAAGGGCGAAGGCCCTATTGTTTTCCTTAGGATTCTTATTAGGGCCCAAGCCCTGAAAGGGTGAAGGCCCTATTGTTTTCCTTCCGATTATTATTATTTTTTTCTTTTATTTTTCTAACGACTATTCGGGCACTTTTGGGCACAATATTCTCTTTCGACGCAGTGCTTTCTTGCAATTGGGTCGGTTCATGTTCACACCGTAAACGAACCGTACCAGAGTTCGTTTGGAACCGTACCGAGACCACCTCTTCAGCTGGGTCTCGGTTCGGTTGTTTGGTCCGCACCCGAGTTCGATTGCTGTATTCACACCTGCCCAAAAGGTCCGCACCAAGGGGGCAAACAAACTAGAGTTCGATTCAATCGAACCAAACAAGGCAGGTGTGAATACACCCTAAAACACACGCAATGGAATGTGAAATACTCCTCCTAGAGCTCTGATCCAAATGCCACGAAACTCGGTCAGTGTGAAGTCAAGACATTGAGGATGAAAGTTTGCGAGGGGATTTTTGATATCTCGAGCGGTTTGGCCGTGGCAAAGAAACGAGATTATGGCGAGAAACGTGAAACAGGAATTGTGTCATAACTTCAGCATAAATCAACCGATCTTGATGAAACTTCAGCAGTGTGTTTGCTGTAAGAGGACGATCACATGGATGTGACTATTGTGAGTCAAAGTTATAGCGCCACCAACTGGCAGCAGGAAGTGTGTCATTTTCAAAATGCTTTGAAATCTTCAAACTTCATTTGTATACTGCAAATACACGGCAGATGAAGACCTGTGAATGGATTCTTGATATCTTTGAAACTGTTGCCGTGGCAACGCATCAAACTTTACCATTCTTTTAGGATGCTTTTGAGACTCTTAGCATGCTTCAAATTGCATGAAACTCGACAGACACATCACATTTATTAGCCAATAGACACGTGCAAAGTTTCAGAAACGGGCGTGGTGAGGGCTCAGTAGCGCCACCTTTTGACAAAAGTGGGGTTGTTAGTTTTATCTACAGTTAAAAAAAAATCAGTATGTATATTGTATTCCTCAAGCCGGACAACTTTCTAATTGACACTCATTAGCTAGGGCCCACAGAAAGTCAGATATGTTTGTTTGAATGTAGAGAAAATCTCAGAATTTTGCCAGTCTCTCAGTGTCCCTCTGTGTGAGTGAGAGGAGGGGCGCCTGTCAGGTTAATTTTAACCCTTTATTTGCTGTGTGCGACTTCTCTGGCATTTTCGGGGGCCTTAACATCCTCTAAAACTCTTGAAACTTTGCACACGGGTCAGAACCCATGGCCATCAGGGCCGGGCTGAAGCTGGTAACCGGGCGTGGCAGGGCGGCTCGACAGCGCCCCCTGGACTGGGATTCGAACATTTGTCCATAAATCAAACACACTTGCATGAAGTAATATGAAACTCGGTACAATTATAGATCACATCAGGCCAAACAACTTTCGTGCTCTAAGTTTTATGACAGTTCAAATGGAAGTTGGGAATTATGGGTTGTTTGAATAACTGTCCTAGGAGAAATACATTAAATTACAACGCATGTGTTTACCAATCACAACCAAACTCGGTGTGCATGAAGTCAAGACATTGAGGATGCTCAATTCTGGACGGATTTTTGATATCTCGAACGGTCTGGCCGTGGGTGTGTGTGTCTGTGTGGGGAGGGGAGGGCTGTTGTCTGTGTTTATGTGTGTGTGTGTGTGTGTGTGTGTGTGTGTGTGGCTGGCTGCGATTTTTCCTACAAGTCCTGGGGCCTCATGTATAAACGTTGCGTACGCACAAAATGGGCATAGAAATATGCGTACGCATTTTTCCACGTGCACATCGGGATTTATAAAAAATAAACTTGGCGTAAATAAGTGCGCACCGTAAGGATGCTCTTGACCGTGCGTACGCACTCTTTTAGAAGATTATGGGTTTTGGCGACACCGATGGTGAGCTGGAGTCAAATGTCTTTTTGCTCACTATTAGACAGAGAATCTAAAGAAAATTATACATCTACAGAAAGATAATACAAATATAATTTCACAAACCTATCACTTGAAGCAAACATCCATCCCTTCTTAAATGACCGCGCCAGCACGCGCGTTCCGTTTAGTGAAACTGACGCACATATAGCCTATAATCTAACGGCAGATGGAGTAAAACCGTAAATCTTCATTATGAGTCCAAATCATAAATACAGTCCATATTCACAATAATAGTTTAAATAAATAAAAGAATGGTACTATGTTTTACTTCTGATATAAACATTTAGATTAAATATGCCATTCTCATTAATGGAGTTAAACTCTTAAACTACATGAAATCATTAGCCTACTGAGAAGTTACAATATATATATATATATATATATATATATATATATATTCAATAAATAGAAATAGACCTATTTGTTGTGGATACATTGCTTTTGAACACTTTTCTTCTGGCATGCTGTGTTTTAATGTTTTAACTACAGATTGTCTGAGAAAACTGTTTCGTGCAAATAATGCACAACCATGTCTATCTCTTCCATTAAAATCTCTTCCATTATCCATTAAAATATAAATCAATTAAAAATACTATTTGGCCAGTGGAAAAGATTGAGAAAAACTTTCTCTGAAATGTATTTAACACTATTTGATTTATTCATTCAAAAACAAGGCAAGGATATAGGCTACAAAAAAAAAATGTTTGTAATAATGTGACGGCACATCCGCATTTCATATTTTCCTAACGTCTTGTACCGTTAAACTTGGTATCACGTGGATGAATAATCATATGCAAATGATATGCAGATGAGGATATGCATAGTAAAACTAGGCGTTGTAATCTCCATATATGGTTATTTCGGGGAGGAGACGCACGTGCGCATAATCTCCCGCTGACTGGGATTTATAAAGTGAATTCTGCGCAGGTTCTGGCGTACGAACGGTTTTATAAATCTGAAAACTTTTGTGCGTACGCAAATTCTGCCTTATGTGCGTACGCACACTTTAAGGATGAAATCTACGCAAAGTTTTATGCATGAGGCCCCTGGTCTCTAAGTCCTTGTCTTTTTGCATAACAATTTTGTATTTTTTTTAAAATGACAAAATAGGCATATAACCCCCATCTTTTAAATGTATAGTTTGCTTTAAATAAAAGTAAGATTGTATTTGTAATTGAAGCTGAATGAATTTAAAATTCATGTGCTATATTTCAATATTTGTTTTCCTTAAGATTTTAAAACACTAACTTCATTCTTATCTGAATTACAAATATTTGTTTCTGTATAAAATAATACTCTGACTAAAACACATTTGATGTTTCTTATTGTATTTTTATTTACATGTATTTATGTGTGTGTGTGTGTGTGTGTGTGTGTGTGTGTGTGTATAAAGTGCAGGTTTTTTTTAGATAAAGTAGAATTTCTATAACTATGTGTTGAACTAATAAATCACTCTTGTGTGTGTTAAACACAATCTACTTAACCTGTTAACTGTCACCCGCCCTTTTTTGAATAGACATGAAAATGCACATTTCGAACTTAAATGGTTGTAATTCAAGAATGCTTTGGAATATAGACATATGATTGGTCTTGTTTTAAAGAAGACATTTGGCAGATTTTTGTAGAAGTGAAATAAATTAAGAAAGTGAAACAGAAAAAAAGTTATAGAAGTTTGAGTTTATGGAAATGTACAATGTAAAAATATTAATTATTCATATTTTACATAAAATATATATTTTCAAAACCTGGGCTACTCTAAAATGGCAGAAAGATCAAAGCCAAAAATCTGAACAAGTTGTGTTTCAAATTTTAGGTTGATATCTCAAAAAATGAGCTTTCAGTGAGATTTTGTTTGAGCGCAGTACCAAACTTTTTCACTAGGGCACAATCAGACTCCATTACTGCCCATATAAGGGCGCCTGCATTTCCATTTGTGTTTTGAGTGATATGAACCATTATTTTCACAATTTTCATACAATGTCTGAAGTAGAGATCCTATTCAGAAGTAGCATGGGAAGTTTGGCAGATTTTGATATGAATTGAACCTCTAAGAAACGCATACAAAGAACACGCATGTAAGTCATAGCTAGCTGCTACGTCACAAATGGTGAATTTATTATTTTTTTCTTGATATTTCAAACTTTTCAGACCTTTTTTTTCCAAAATAATTGAATGGATTCTATCTTTTGAACTTTTGGCATGAAAACAAACTGAGGTATCTACCATTTTTTGATGATTTTTCATGTTTACTGCTATTTTAAAATAAAGGTCTGAACACGCCTTATGAGTATGAAAATATTCTTGTTTTATATTGATAAATTATGGCTCCTCTGTAATATATTTTGAAAATCAGTCACCAAATATGGAAACTAGAGATTGTAAGCTTTCAAATGATATATAGTTTGTCAATATTATTTAAGGTATTTACTAAGATATTATTGTTTTAAAAATATAGTGGCAAACGTCCCACCTGTGGGACGGTGACAGTTAAGTACAGACAACTTCATTATAAAGATAAATAACAAATCCAAAAAATATATGATTATAATCTATGACAAAAAAGCCATTACACACTATATTAGTGGAAAATACATATTGCTCTTTGTATTGTTGTAAAATACACTCATGAAAAACAAGATAACAAAAATCAAAAATATAAATTATTTTAGATATAGCCATGGCTGCTATAAAATTGAGACAACATGTTTTAAATGTATAGCAGAGATGTTAAATGAGGCAGCAACATACAAACTTTCTAGAACAACTTGGACCTGAATAGCTGTTTTTTACGGAGGACAGGGTGCAAATCAAACAGCTCATTCTCAGACTACACAGCAAACAGCTTAAGTTTTTAGTGCTTTGTTTGAGGTTTTTAGTGCTCTGTCCTATCTATTATCAACATATAATAGATAGAACAGAACAAGAAAGGCAATTAATAATCTGTCATTGCGTCACTGCATTATGATATGAAAGGCTCAGTA